CCCAGATACCCATTTACTGTTAGGTGAAGAGGCATTGGGTGTGAGGAATAATGTATTTTGCACATTATACACTACCCGTGTGTGTGATCATGTTCAAGCTCACAGCTCACCATCGAACCCAAACCCGGCTCGTACCAGAACTAAAAATACTTGAAATCCTAGAATAGGTTAAAGGAAATGGGCCTTTTATTGGGAAAGAAAAGAACAAGACGAGAAGAAAACAACTTAGACATACAAAGGGAAGTGATTCAGAGAGGACAAGGGTAGTTAGTGTTTACGATGGGTGGGAAGAGAACGGAGGCCAGCAGGTGCCATATGGGACCATGAATGGGTAGGATGGACAATGAAAGGAAGCACATCAACATTCCTTACGTGCACAAGTACTGAGCAGGTGGACTGACTGACTTAAAGGATGAACTAATGAAGACAAGCTCCAACACAACTTTACTCGAAAACCAGGAGTTGCTGCTCTAGACGACCGATACTAAGAGGCGGCGCCCGAGAGCTAAAGATAACTCTCCACACACACACACACACACACACACACACACACTCACACACACACACACACACACACACACACACACACACACACACACACACACACACACACACACACACACACACAAGTAAGAAGAAAGAGAGGATGCGATGTACGAAGGCTGGACACCAGCGGACGAGAGTATGCGGCATCCGGTGACATGGTTATCACAACACACCGGATGTCCCTTACACGACATCTTCTCCACGCCTCATGGTCCCCCTGGGCTTGGTGCACCCATTGTTGGGTGTGCCCTTAATGGACTTGCTACCCCCCGTCGGTGTTAGGGGCCCTCGGTGGTAGGTGTTGGCCTTGCTCTTGGTATTCCCCCACCTTGGGTGCCTCGTGTTTCTTTACTTCGTAACACATCACCTTAGGTGTGTCCGAGTGGTGTTGGTGTGTGTCAGAGTGGTGTTGGCATCTCGTTCATAATGCCCGTTGTTGGGAGGACGACAGGAAACCCGTATCGAGGTTCCCGTAGGTTAACTATAGACCTTTCCCAGGATGCAAGCCACAACAGTCGCAGCAGCACGGGTGTTGAGACTCTGGTGTCACACATAACATGAACTCCTGCAGACATGCGAGGCCTCTTCCCTCTGTCGTTGTGGTGTTAGCACACTTTTAGGTGTTGTTGTTGTAGTAACATTTGGGCGTCAAGTTGGACTTGTGAGTTTATTGATGACCAGACCACACACTAGAAGGTGAAGGGACGACGACATTTCGGTCCGTCCTGGACCATTCTCAAGTCGATGGTCCAGGACTCTATCGCTTGATTATGGTCCAGGACGGACCGAAACGTCGTCGTCCCTTCACCTTCTAGTGTGTGGTCTGGTCAACATACTTTAGCCACGTTATTGTGACTCATCGCCTGCTTGTGAGTTTATTATTGAAGAGTGTAAATAATACTCGCATACATCATAGGTGTCTCCAAGAAGTCTTGTAGAAATCTTCATCTCTACAACATATCTTGTGGACGTGAAGACAATAGTTGTGTAAACTACAAAACTTATAAACGGCTGTGATCGATATTCACCAGAGTTCAGGTTTGTCACTCTGAAGAATTATGTTTTTTTCCTTGTTACCTAGCAGTAAAATAGGTACCTGGGTGTTAGTCAGCTGTCACGGGCTGCTTCCTGGGGGTGGAGGCCTGGTCGAGGACCGGGCCGCGGGGACACTAAAAAAGCCCCGAAATCATCTCAAGATAATCATCTCAAGAAACTTATAAATTATTTAACCTGATAGAGAAGAAAAAAAGGTATACACGTGTAGAAGATATAGGTCTCGTAGCGCATTGGTCTGCATTCCCGGCCCACAACCCAGGGACCCGGATCCAATCCCCGGGCTTGACAGACACGGTAGGGCACTTTTCCTTTTGCCTGATGCCTCTGTTCATCTAGCAGTAAAAACAGATATCCGGGAGTTGTGGATTGCACAAGTTCCAGGTACCTGTTGTGGGTTGCATCTTGTAGGTCATTACTTCGCCTGTGAGGAACTCAATAAGCCTATGTATAAGAATGATATACACGCAATTTAAGGATATACGAAGCTTGTATTGGGTCCATTGGACCGGCTCTGGAGACTCGAATCGAAACTCTCTATTTTTAGCTTGTTACAACTTGTAATAAAGTTGTTACATCTTGGCTTAACGTGTTCATGACGTATTAGAACGTTGTTACAACTTGCTATATTGGTTGTTATAACTGGTTAGGTGTTAAAAACTTGTTAGAACGTTGTACCAACGTCGTAGTTTCGGTGTGTGTTTGGCGGGGGTGAAGAACTTTCGAAAATTACAGCGTGTGTTGCCCTTACATCCAACAGATGGTGCTGTTTTTTAAAAAAAAAACATGTTTTTTTCCTGTCACAGGTGAGGCATGTATATAGTAGATATATAAAAAGACGCGCCAATTCGAATGCAACGTTGTGTCAAAATTTCAAAGCAATCGGTAAGGAGGTTTCGAAGGCCGGCGGGTCAAGGTGTTCCAGCGGCAGGTGTAGGAGGGAGGAGGTCGGTCCTCAACTGCTACCATCACACTACGGAACATAGACTTCCCCGTTACACTTCCACGAGCCGTATTGCGCTTTATGAAGGTCGTTTGAGACAGCGTTTTCCTCACCTTGAACTATTGGTTCATCTTTTCCGATTATGTTCCTGTTGTCGAATAAACATTTCCGGCGCGGCTTGTATTCCGCGGCGCTCATCTTCTTTCCTGGATAAAAGGAAAAAATCGCAAGTTAAATGTAATTAGACATTGAGTGGCTGATCAAGTTCAAGTATGTTCATTGAGACAAGAAAGAAATACATCTCAAAGGGAGATGTATTTCTTTCTGATCACCTTACCTTGAGGTGCTTCCGGGGCTTAGCGTCCCCGCGGCCCGGTCGTTTACCAGGCCTCCTGGTTGCTGGACTGGCCAACCACACACACATGTAAAGTACGATTTCGTCGGCTGTATTTGTGTTAAATCACATAATAAATCATTCTTATAGTCACGGAGAGCTGATGCTCTTTACCTGAATATACCAGAGGGCCACCATCCCCAATGACCTCGACGGGGACAGGAAGCCGACGATTCCCCGATTCCCCGTAAAAGATTCCCCCCCCCCCAATTATTTCAATCTAGTACTATTTTCTTCGCGTTGGTCCTGACAGGAAAATATAAATTGCGTCTCTGGTAGCGGAGATAAGCGAGGTGGTGAGTGTGGTCCCCGGGGTCGTGAAGCTCTTCCCACAGTCCCCGTGCAGGTGCTGCAAGGGTTGACCTACAGCTCCTGGTCACCTGCTTAGCTAAACGTGCCTCTGTAACCCTTTCCACCACCGCCCACGGGATGGGTATGGGGTGCACAATAAAGGAAGGGTATTGCTCTTAACCATCAATCAATCGTCTGGTGTCATGAACCCTCGAGTCTTTTGGCCTTTGAAATATTTACATTTTAATCCGTGCATGGAGAAGTGTTACAGTTTTGGCCCAAGTTCAGAGCAGCGCCACTCATGCTGTGAGTGGACACACTACCGCCATAGCAGCATGTACAACACTCCCCAATAGGAAGAAAACCCGCTGGGTTGTTCACCCTGTCACTTGTACACACACACAGCTGGGACTTAACTGTCACGTTAAAACTGTCAAACGAGGGCTCAACATCTTACAACCCTCCTAGTTTATGGTATATTGCGAGCGTGAAGTGGGGGGTGGGGTGGGGGGGACAACATCTATATTGGATAAAAATTTCTTTCCTACTTCATGTAATTTGAGATTTGCTATGTTGGTGGACACATTTGTGGTGTTTCATTGGCTCGTCCGGACATTGTTGTAGTTTGTCCAGACGCGTCAATACTACTACTAATAATAATAATAATAATAATTTATTATTATCATTATTAACTGCACTAGGGGTGTGAGGTGACGCGAACCAGCGACCCGAGCACTGGCAGCCCTGTACTCCATCCCAGCGCGGCCTCTCAGCCCTGGTAGATTTTGTTCATTTATATATATCACGTTATAGTGTGATTACTGTGTTAATAATGACAATTACCATATTGATTTGATGTTGCGGGTTGAGGCCTTACTCACCAACCAACAAGTATCTACTTTTGTGTTCAACATAAGTCAGCAGTAAAGTAGGTTCTCACTGTATATACAGCGAGGCAAGTTGCTCCTCTCTGTTTATTATTTATTTATATACAATAAGGTGTAATGGTATATTAAGAGTAGAGGCGACGTCGGCGGCACATTCTTGCCACGCCACTAACACGCAGAGCTTTATTATTATTGTACCACATTATTTTACCATTACATTGAATTGTTTAAATCGACCCACACCACCACTCCCCCACCCCCCCCCCACACCATCACCACTACTCCCCACACTATCACACCCATCACTCCCACACTATCACACCCATCACTCCCCACACTATCACCTCCCCCACCACTCTCCACCCCCCACACTATCACCATCACTAGTCCCCCACTCCCCACCGCTGGCTCTGAGAGGTCCTTTATTGCCTCTCTTGAATAAATATTTGACTTTTGTACAACTGTATTCCATTGTATTTGGCCTAGTTACTTCAGGTACAAATTATGATGGTTAACGTATTTACATGTATTATCTGTGTGTTGGTTTATGTATTCACATATATCATCATCTTCTCGTGTATCATTATTTGTAATTTTTCCACTTGTATTTAATAAAAAATAAAAGATGTTTGAAGGTAAAAGATCTCTCTCTGCTTATTTAGAACACAGCTCTGGACTAAAAAAGTACTAATTATCTTAGGGGTCGTCAGTGCAGGGCTGAGCAGTTTCTTAATTGCTTGTGGTGTTAAATGCTCCACTTAAGAGGGGGAAACTAGTAATATGTGTAGTGGTGTGGAGGAGAGCAGTGTGGACCCGGGTGTTAGTGTAGAGAGCAGTGTAGCGAGGCTGGCGGAGACAAGTGTGTAATACCTGGTCTCTGTTTCAGGAGTGAGGTCCCAACAGCGCGCGCGGGCCCTTATATTTGCGTCCACATCCACGTTGGAAGGCTGCTTGAGTGAGGAGAGGGCAGGTGTATGACGCCAAACAGCTGTGTGAATCAACACAGGTGTGTGAAGCGGGTGGGGGTCGCGATGAGTGGCCAGGCGCCCCGCCATGGCAGCGCCACAACAACACACACTCACTAGCGTCACCTCGCCCTCCACTCTCGCCCTCGGCAGCTCCCCAGCGTCCGCCGAGGCTTATGGTAGCGGCCGGATCAGCGGTGTTAATATCCGTAGCTTCATAACGCCCACTGCCTCCGCCCACCACCCGCAGCCCCGCCCATTCTCGCGTCGCCTCCGCCCTTGTTCTCTCTGTGGCCCAGCTGCTCTCAGACCTCACTTCTCCCTCCCGCCCACTCCCACTCAAGGGGGGCTAGAGCAACCGGTGGTTCTCTTGCACCGTCTGGAGGACGGCTTACCCCAGGGGGATGTGAACAGTCTCCGAGCCTACGGCACCATCCGTCTCCTGCCCGTCCACGCCCCGTCACAACCCAGCAATGTCGCCTCACACTTCAGAAGCGATCATGACAGAAGTAATGAAGGGCAGGTGAGGCCTGCCATGGCGCACACTGCAGAGGTCGGCGACGGAGGTCAAGATGAGGACAGCAGTAGCAGCAGCAGCAGCAGCAGCGACTACACCAGGTGGAGCTACAGCAACGGTGGTGACGACATCCACCAGCCCAGTGTAGTGAATAGTGACCACAGTGTGAGTGTAACCGCTCGAGACAGCAAGTCAGTGTTGAATGGCGGAACAACACTCAAAGGTGTCGTTCGACTGCTGCAAGACGAACGAAAAACTAAGAGTGACCTCGAGCACTCGACTGGCAAACGATCTACCAGTGGGAGAGACCAGGGCCTGAGCAGCCATGTTGATCAGATCAGAGAAACCTCCGTCCCTCACTCCTCATCTCCCTCACCCTCTTCCGTCCCTCATTCCTCATCTCCCTCACCCTCCTCCGTCCCTCACTCTTCACCTCCCTCACCCTCCTCCTTCCCTCACTCCTCACACCTACACGGTCCATTCACCGTCACGGCTCCCTCACAGTCTTCCCCACCAGCACCCATACAACATTTCCCCTTTGACACGCACTCCTCCCAAACAACCTCGGAGCCCACCCCAACAACCACACAACCGTCACTGACAGTCTTACTGCCCTCTCCGACAACCACACAACCCTCCCAGTCTACCACATCAGGTATGCCTTCCCCGGCAACCACACCACCCTTACCGACAACCACACCACCCTTACCGACAACCACACCACCCTTACCGACAACCACACCACCCTTACCGACAACCACACCACCCTTACCGACAACCACACCACCCTTACCGACAACCACACCACCCTTACCGACAACCACACCACCCTTACCGACAACCACACCACCCTTGCCGACAGCACCACCACCATTACCGACAACACCACCACCTTTACCGACAACACCACCACCTTTACCGACAACACCACCACCTTTACCGACCACTCTAGAACCGTCATCGACAACCACACCACTTTCACCGACAACTACACCACCTTCCCCGACCACTCAACAACCTGCCCTAACAGATGCAATGTTACCAAATGCAAGACTCACATCTGTCTCTCAGTCACATCCCCAGACCTCCCCACCGTGTCTCCCAGCCTTCTCACCTACTGTGTCGCCTCCCTCCCCACCTCCTTCCTCTCCACCAGGCTCGGAACATGAAATGTTACATAAAACTTCACCAGTCTCTGAATTGTTGCCGCCTTCCTCTCCATACTCACCAAGAACTATATCATCCTCCTCCTCTGCATCTCCCGCTTCATTGCCTTCTCGTGCTGACTCACCTCCTTCGCCTTCGCCTGAGTCTCTGCCTGCCTCGCCTGTTCCCTTTGGTTTATCCCAAGACGAGGCTCATCAGTGTTCTCCAGAGCCTGCCTCAACTGTCCCCTCTGGTCTGTCTCAAGACGAAGAACAATACTCCTTGCAGCCTGCGTCCCCCATCACCACTTCCGATCTGTCACAGGATGAGCTCCCACATCTGATTACCAAATTTGCTGAACCCTCAACAGATGAAGTCGAAGACTTGCCCAACTCTCAGGTGGAGGCGTTGAAAGAGGGACAAACAGAAGATTGTCAAACCAAACCATTAGTGGGCACTGAAGTCGAATCTTTGATAGGCAGTGAAGTGAAATATTCAGATGACACTCTTGTTCAACTTTCAATGGATGCTAACATTAATTCCCAAATAGATACTCAGGTTGGACTGCCAATGGACGCTCAAATGAACCCATCAAGTGTTAATTGGGTCAAATCATCAGTGGCCATTGAAAAAGGGGCACTATTGGAAGGTGAGGCTCAAATGGAGTCATTTAGAGGAACTCAGGGTGAAGTGTTAGACGCTCAGCATGACGATGGAGAGACTGTGGCGGGTGGTGAGGCATGCGATGGGGAACTTGAATGTCAGACAAAGGAGTTAGTGCACGAACTAATGAATTATTGTGAGCAAACTGACTCTAACAAGGGACCAATGAAGTTAAAGTTCAGGTTAAGACATAAGACTGACAGTCAAGTACCTCTTGTTGCTGAGAAAAAGGAGTGCAATAAAGAAAATGGTATTCCAAAGATAGTGTTAACTCTAACAGGGTCTGGGCCTAAGAAGGAATATTCTTGCTCAAATAGGTTAAGAAGTGAGGACCAAAGCTTTTCGGATGTAAACATTACTAACAAAAAGCACAAGTCAAAGAAAGATAAAAAGCAAAAACTACGAGATAAGGAAAAAATAAGAAAAGTTCCCAAAGGAAATAAGCACAAACGACACCTTGAACTGTTTGGAGAAGACAGCACTGACTCCTGTGATGATAGTAACAAGTGCAATGGGGTCAATGAGGAAGACGAGGAACTTCCAGTAACGACAGATAAAGAAGACAAGAGTCTTCAACTTCCTGTGGCTTTCCCCACACTGGGCGAGTCTCCTGAGCGTAGTGATGGCGAGCTCCCACCCTTCCCTGCTGCAAGGGAGTCCTATACCTTCAGTGTCAAAGTCGAGAAAGTTTGTGAACAAATTAAATACAGCTCCACTAATGAATCATTGGATGACTGTCTCTCCGATTCTTTGCCAGATCTAGAACCTCTCCCTTCTCTTGAAGACACAGAAGTCCCCAAGAATGGAAACAAGAAGGCACCATTTCTGAAGAACATTAAAACCTGTGCGAGTACGATAAAGGCAAAGCTTAGAAAAAAGAGACCCCGAAAAAAATCACTACCACGAGATTCAACTGAAGAGGAGTTCCCCAGTGTTGCCTCTCAAAATGCTTTACTAGAAGAGGACACTATTCCTGCTATACATACCACGTCAAGCAGTCCTTCGAGTTTGCTCAAAATTATTAAGAAATCGAGCAAACAGACGGGGAATGATCCATGTATGAGCAATCTAGGTTCTGCCTTAAGAAACCGAAAGGATAGGCAGGTGAAGAGCACAGAGTTGGATCAGGATTCAGATTCAGATGCTTGTCTGAGGGTTAGTTTCGGCTTTGATGGTCCAGTTCCAGTTCCTACAGGCAATATGCCAGGTTTAGAACCAATCACTGACAATATGGACAACTCAGATACTCAGAAGTTAAGCGAAAGTGATCTTGATACAGAGTCTTTTCTAACTGATAAACCATCGTGTGATTTAGATAAACTTCCAAAAGATAAAGCTTGTTCCATTATGGCCACTGATAAACATGGTCAAGAAGGAAAATACTCTGAAGTAACTACAGAAAGGACAGTAAACTCGGTTGATCTTCTTGTTGAACAGAGGGCAGAACGTCTTGTGAAGGAATATAATGAACGACAGAAGCAAGTTCTATCAAGTAAATCCAAATTACACCCATCATATCCTCACGTTAAGGATTTGTCACCGAAAATTAAGGATGTAAAAAATGACCAAGCGCAACCAATATCATCAGCTCACAAGACAGAAGAATTTGGTGATAAACTGCATCATTCATCACAACAACAACACAAGTCATCGAGTAGTTCAGAAACGAGGGAACACGCAGAGTTGGTCGATGCTAGTCAATCACATAGTTCACCTCATGAAGACGTTTTTGAAGATGGTGATACTAGTCAGGAACCCAGTGCAAATACCTTGGATTATGGTGCCAGTACAGATCCAAACACTGAAAGTTCAGAGAATGTTGGTGTGGATCTTTGTGAGAGGCCCGGAGAGCAGAGAAAGAGTGCTTGCGGTGAGGAACTGACACCTTTGCAGCGTCAGACAACTTCAGCTATAGTCTCTTCTCCATTCGATGAATGTACCGACTCACTCACCATCGAAGAGCATCCTGGCAGCTTGGAGAACTCGGAAAGATCTCTAAGACCTCATGAATTGGTAAACAGTTTTAAAAGTTTGGAATCTGAAGATGACAACCAGTATTATCGACCCAAGAAAATGCGTAAAAGAAGTGATTCAAAATCGTCCCAGGTCTCTTCAAGTGAGAGAGACTCTGTAGATCCTTCACTTGACCCCCAAGATTCGGAAAAATACTGTATTGTTGCCTCGGAAGCCGAGAATCACCAAGCATATGAAACATTCCTCATCAGTGAAAACCAAGATGGTGACAAAAGTACCTTAGATTCTGACACTGCTGCGCTGGTCCACTCGGAAGCACTTTCGACAGACACTTGTGAGGTAGACGTTAGAGGTTCCAAAGATAGATTGGAGACATTTGAGGTGAAAATGGACACACAGGAAAGCGTGCATGATGGTGTGCCAGAGATGGACAGTCTGTCGAAATCCTTTGCTTCCACTCCTCAGAACCTTGAAGGTGAGAAAGGACAGAAGAGGAGGAAGATGCAAGCAAAGGCATTCTGGAAACAGAACCCTAAGGTTGAGTTACAAGATGATTCAAGTGACGGGTCTCTTTCTCTGCTTCTTGACGGAAAGGAGGAGGGAATCTCAGATAAACATGACAGCACATCAAGAGAAGACAGTTTATCTTCCAAAGAAGATTGTCAAAAGCAAGATGCACTCAACAAAGAAGACAAGGAGAAAAAGAAGAAAACGAAAAGGGAGAAGAGGAAGAATGGCTCAGGTAAGCTGTCAGTTAATCTTTAATTACACTTTAAACTCTAAGGTGCCCAAACCACAGCAAAAGCTGAAACCTACATATAGCTGCATGATACCAGTTTTGCATAATATTTATTCAATAATCTCATCGCCCACTTTCAGGTTGTATGCAGCTCAATCTTTACACAAGATATTAATGAAGTCCTTACATACAGACTCAGGGGTATATGGCGCACATTCGCTTACAATGTGTGGGCAGAATACATTCACAAGCAGAGCCGCAGTTTGAAGTTCAATCACATATTGACCAGACTACACACTAGAAAGTGAATGGACGATGACGTTTCGGTCCGTCCTGGACCATTCTCAAGTCTATGAGAATCGAATCGATCATCGACTTGAGAATGGTCCAGGACGGACCGAAACGTCGTCATCCATTCCCTTTCTAGTGTGTGGTCTGGTCAACATACTTCAGCCACGTTATTGTGACTCATCGCCTTCAATCACATACTTTTTCTGCTTGAACTTACCAATCACTTGCTTGCTGAATGAATTATTATGTTCACATTAATTCTGTTTGGTGATGTTTGTCTCTTAGCTTCAGTGTTGCTTACTCTCATTTGTGGCTGAATACTTGAGTGATAAAGTTGACAATGGTTTGCCCTACTTGTATTTCATGTGATTATATTCATGTACAATTGATAAATGCTTTTTTGTATTTATATCATGATGTTATTTTCAGATTCGGACAGTGATTCACGTAGCGAAGGTATAGACATACTCACAGATCTTTAGTATAGCGCTTCTTATTGTTTTAGCTAATACGTCTTGTAGGCACATTGTAGATACAGTTGTTTAATGGGTAGCTGGGCATGACGGATGTCGTGTGGTATTTGGTATCTATGTGAGGGTTACCAGACTAGTGTAGCATGTGTTTGGTGTTGTCAGGAGCTTATAGTATTACTATGGTCAGTGTGAGAAAAGCATAAATTATGTGTGTGTGTGTGTGTTTGTGTTTGTGTGTTTGTTTGTTTGTTGAGTGTTGAGTGTAGCCAAAATCTTGTTGTACAGTACTTTCGTTTTTGGTGTAGAACTAACCCCCAAATACAGGATCTGCAGTAAACCTTTGACATATATCGGCTTAAACATAGACTCAGTTGCACACTGCTCCCTTTCCAACGTAGAGAACTAAAAGTTTTAAGCAACAGATGAGCATTCAGTGGTAATCATTACAAGGTCATTATATACTGTAATACGTTAGTGATTTAAATGAAGCTCGATAGGAAATTCGGTGAGATTCAGTAATGAAACTGGGCAAATGATTAAACAGGCCTAGTCCAGTAACTAAACAGGATTCAAAATGAAACAAGACTGAGTTGTTACTAAAAAATTATTTATTGAATTTCACATGAAAAAATTAAAAAAAAAAGAACACAGGTGGTAAATAGTCAGTACTCAGTTACCTGTAGCATACCTGGAGAGGGTTTCAGGAGATCTTCTGCTCCCAAAGCCCTGGCCCCAGTTGGTAATTAAATGATACAGTACTTGTAGATACAGTACTTGTATCGTACTTAAAAGGTACGGTAGCAGTAATTAATCACTGCTCAATTAGGAATTAAAATGTAAGATGGAATAAACGATTGTGTAAGGCGATAACATCCGAGGTCCCACCTTGCCCATGCAGCATCTCAATGTTCTCGTAATTTTGAGGCCTGAGTTCACATCTCTGATGAATGGTGGAAGTATTGGCAATTAAACTGTACTGGTTCCATATTGTTTTCTGAAGCAAATCTGCATGCTCTGTCAAGCTTAGGACTTCAAACTATCACACTTCCTTCAAGAGGACTTACTTTAGTATCTATAAATGAACGAAACGCATGATGCACTGCTTGACGTGCACTAATAAGATGTACCACTTGATGTGCACTAGTATGATGCACTACCTGATGTGCACTAGTATGATGCACTACCTGATGTGCACTAGTATGATGCACTGCTTGATGTGCACTAGTACTGTATGATACACTGTTTGATGTGCACTAGTAACCTGCTTAATACCTGCTTGATGGGGTTCTGGGAGTTCTTCTACTCCCCAAGCCCGGCCCGAGGTCAGGCTTGACTTGTAAAGAGTTTGGTCCACCAGGCTGTTGCTTGGAGCGGCCCACAGGTCCACATACCCACCACAGCCTAGTTGGTCCAGCACGCTTTTTAGAAAACAGTCTAGATTTCTCTTGAAGATGTCTGATGAAGATGTCCAGTAAGATGCACTACTTGATGTGCTCTAGTATGATACACTGCTTGATGTGTACTAGTATGATGTACTGCTTGATGTGCACTAGTATGATGTACCGCTTGATGTTAACTAGTATGATGTATTGTTCATTAGTATCATGCACCACTTGATGTGCATTAGTATGGAATGTATGATGTGCATTAGTATGCAATGTATGATGTGCATTAGTATGATACACTGCTTGATGTGCATTAATATGGTACACTGCTTGATGTGCATTAGTTTGCAATTTTTAACCAGCTGTAGTTTGTTTTGGGATTCTACCTTGCTGGGTGCCTGACCTGGTAGATACTAGACACAGACTGCTTCCAACTACATGGGGGTGTCTATAAGCCATTGCTCCTCGTGCCTCTCTGAGGAGGGCCAGGTTCTGGCTCGTGGTCCCCGTTAGGCCTAGAACTCCATCGACTGACTGTTGCTACAGTCTAATACTGCACAGTATATACACATCAGCCCATTATAGCTCCAGGGAGCTGAAGGGGCTCTCCACAGAAAATTTCCCCAAAACACACAGAAGGATCCAAACCCTTAACGACCCTTAAAAGTTGAGACTGGCCAAGTTATAATAGATGATAAAAGGGCAGCAAATGCTCTGAATGAATAATTTACATCACTGTTCACTCTAGAGAGATTAAACAACATCTCATTACCACACAATTGTTTGAAGTAGATGAAGAGAAATTTACGGATATATCCATAATGTGCGACACACAGGAAGCGCATTGACAAACTAAAAGACTCAAAAGCCCCAGGAGTGGACAGAATTCAATCCAGTCATAAAAAAACTGGCAAATGAACTATGCCTATCACTAAAGCTCCTTTTCCAAGTATCTGGACCAAGAAGCAGTTCTCCTAGAAGGCAGAAAGAGTTCAGCTGAAAACTACTGTCTGATCAGCTTGTCATCACACATCTGCAAGCTTATGGAGAAAATTATTTACCATCTCGCAGTGAACAATCAAGTAAAGTCAATGCAACATGGGTTTGTTAAAAATAGATCCTGCTATATATGCTCACATTTTCTGATTGATTTACCGTTTTGTTGATCATGCAATTTGCCCACTTAAAGAATAGAAAAGTGTATAAACTGTGTAAATTATTGTACATTATTTGGCACGGTATTATTGCAGAATTTAAATGTACAGGAATTATTTGATTATTATTTGGAATTATACACTGTGGAAATTTAAATTATTATTTAGAATTGTACACTAGAAATTTTTAAATATCGAAAAAGCACATTGAAAAAAAGTTTTCTTTATTAAATTAAAAATAACATTTTCTGCATACTGTACTTAGATCAATGTTTTCCTAATTGTCGTTACACACACACACACACACACATATATATAAACTCCAAAAGTTTAATATATATATATAAACTTTATGTATATACATAAACTCCAAAAGGAGGGGAAAAAGAGAGGAGAAAATATGGAGAAAGGGGGAGAAGGAAGTTGGAGGAAGGAAAAAAGGGAGGGGGAGTTAGAGGAGTAATGGGGAGAAGGGAAGATGGAGGGGGAGGAAAGAAGGTAGAGAGGGTAAAGAGAGGAGAGGAGGAGGGTGCGAATGGTAAGGGGAGAGAGGCAGAGGGAAAGGGGAAAAGGGAGGGGTAGAATGGAAAGAGTGGAATAGGGTGAAGAAAGGGGATTAGGAAGATTTGGTTGAGAGGGGGGAGGGGGACAGGGCACTGCTGGTTGTAAGGCCAGTGCCTTACATCTAGTATACGTATATACATACAAGAAGGTACAATGGGTTGTGAAAGTACACATGTTGAGGATTAAGTGATACATTCTGGCAAAGCCACGAACATGCAGAGTGTTTGGGGCAAGTCCTATAGCAATTACAGAATTTGCAATTATTTAAAATTACAATATAACATAGTCTTTAATAAAAAATAAATGTAGTAACAGATATCATGACAAAATTTGAATTTGCACAATTTCTATATTAATATAAAGATCATAATTAGAAATTATATTGAAGTACAGCAGTAGTTGTATTTCTTGAGAGTAAAATACTAGGTGAACTAATAGTACAAGGTGAGATACTATGATAGGGAAATTAGGTCTTCATTATTCTACTCTTAATATAGAGAATAGATATTTTTTTTAACTTTTGGAAAAAAAAAGAGTTCCATATAATATATATATATATATATATATATATATATATATGTCGTACCTAGTAGCCAGAACTCACTTTTTGGCCTACTATTCAAGGCCCGATTTGCCTAATAAGCCAAGTTTTCCTGAATTAATATATTTTTTCTAATTTTTTTCTTATGAAATGATAAAGCTACCCATTTCATTATGTATGAGGTCAATTTTTTTTTATTGGAGTTAAAATTAACGTAGATATATGACCGAACCTAACCAACCCTACCTAACCTAACCTAACCTATCTTTATAGGTTAGGTTTGGTTAGGTAGCCGAAAAAGTTAGGTTAGGTTAGGTTAGGTAGGTTAGGTAGTCGAAAAACAATTAATTCATGAAAACTTGGCTTATTAGGCAAATCGGGCCTTGAATAGTAGGCCAAAAAGTGAGTTCTGGCTACTAGGTACGACATATATATATATATATATATATATATATATATATATATATATATATATATATATATATATATATATATATATATATATATATATATATATATATATATATATATATATATATATATATATATATATATATATATATATATATATATATATATATATATATATATATATATATATATATATATATATATATATATATATATATATATATATATATATATATATATATATATATATATATATATATATATATATATATATATATATATATATTATATATATATATATAATATATATATATATATATATATATATATATATATATATATATATATATATATATATATATATATATATATATATATATATATATATATTTATATATATATTTATATTTATTTATTTATACAGTATTGGGTTCCTCATATTTGCATGGCCTGTTTACATAAATTTAGTTGTACGACTCTAGGAATATAAAATAAATATTAATTTCTGGTAGATTTTATTACATCCATCTAGGAAGAGTTTCAAAACAGGATTAAAATTGAGAATAAGACTTTGTAAGTGTAAATAGCACAAGATAATGTGTTGAGTGAATGTTTGTTTAGCATATTCAGGGATGTGAACAGAGGAGCTGTGTATTGTCTGAAGACAGAATGTTATCGTTCTGATATCTATTTGTGCTGGGTAATGATTGGCTTGTAGAAGAGCTTTCATTGGATGTGATCTTGCTCGTCGTGACCTCGTGTGCTGTGGACTGACCCATGGATGTGACTTTCCAACAGGTAACGTGAAAAAGTCGTGGGCACTGCAGGAGGCGCAGCTCCAGCGGGAGGTGCTTCATGAGGAGGAGAGGGGACGCCGCCTCGCACAGGAGATAAAAGGCTTCAACTGGCTGGAGCAAAAAATCAAGAACGGCTCACTGCTCTCTTCTGGCTCCACCCCCTCCACACCTTCAACGCCCTCAACACCCTCAACGCCTTCAACACCCTATACGCCCTCAACACCTTCCACGCCTAGTCTGGCCACTAAAACCCCAAGTACTTCATCGCTGTCTTCAGAACCTCAGACTCCTTCATCCATAACCCCATTTACTTTCCACGCAAGGAAGGAGGAGGGGGACACAAAAAAAAACTTGTGAGTACATTCATTATGTGGTGAATAGGTTTGTTTCTCTTTCTCAGATGTATTATCTCTTATAGAAAAGGTCCCGGTAGTACAGTTGGGTTCATTCTGTACTGTTCTGAGGATTCCAGGTTTGAATCCTGGGAGGGACAGAAATGATTTGGCACATGTCCTTTCGTCTAATGCCGTTGTTCACCTAGCAGTGAGTAGGTACTCAAGAGTTAGTCAGCTTGTTGTGAGGTTGCATCCTGGGCGGGGTCAGTAATTCGGCCCTGCGTGAGGGGGGGGGGGGGGGGAACTCGATGGAAGCAAACGTGTATGAATACACTCTGGCTTCCTGTCCCCCGACATAATGAATTATTAGTATTATATAAAACTATAAGAATGAGGAATGACTCGGAGTTCAATTTAGCTCATTTATTATGCACCCCATACCCATCCTGTGAGAGGTAGTGGAAAAGGTATTGGCACAAATATAAGCTCAGGATTTAACCCCAAAATGTGTTGATCTAAGCATATTATAACATTGTTTACCTACTTACATAGTTTAACATAAACAGTTATTCACAGTTAATGAGGCTAAAGTAACCATGACTCAAAAGAGGACCCTAACATAATGAGTGAGAGTTTGTTAACATAATATAAACATCGTACTCACCCTGTGGGTGAGTGGCAGAAAGGTTTGTCACATGTTGGATAAGAGAGAAAATGGGTTGTTTGTTTCTACTTTAATTTGAGCAATTAGGCATTTCCATCATTTATGACTGTTGACAAGGACTTGGTTTGTTTTTAATATTATTTCAATTAATGTGTGAAATCCCTTTCCAAGTGTGTCTCCTTTCACGCGTTTTCCCTTTCCACGCCTGTCCCCTTATTTACTAGTCTGGACTCTCTCACTAGCGGCACACTATGTCAGTTGTGATGGGTGCATGGGGGGGGAGGGGAAAATTTACGCAAGCTGGTTGGCTGCGGCCCAATTTGTTTAATACAAATGCTGGAACAAATAATAACTCGGTTATATATCCCCTAACTCGGTTACTGTAATTAGTTATGTGCCGAGGTAGTTAGCACGTGCCTCAAGATAATTTGTTAAATGTGCCAAGGTAATGGGTACGGCTGTGTCGTGTTAATTATTTTGTGATTTATTAATTGGTAACTAAGCAGTTGAGATTGGTACCTGCTCAGTGATGATTGGTAGCATGAGTGTCCTTAGTAGTTAGAAATATAGCAATTGAAATTTGCTCTATGGTAATTGGTAATTGGGCTATGTTAATTAGCAACTGTGTCTTGGAAGTTTCTTGTGTCTTGCATTTCCAATGTGATGATTAATTGCTCTATGATAATTGGTAACAGAAGTGTGGTAACAGGTATCTGCTTTGTGGTAATTGGTACCTATGAAATGGGAAATTATTATAACACCAGATTCATATGTGTTTTGTGTGACTAGTGATGGGGGAAGGGTGGATTGGCCTGAAGGTGACTTTTGAACAGCCCAGACCTGAAGGTGACCTTTGAACAGTCCTGATCGACTGAAATAGGAACTAAAATTGGTAATCACAGAGAAGAGCAGCCATGCCACAATAATTGGTAATCGAGAACCTGCGAAGCTTTGGGAAATCCCGAGTTATTCAGGGCCGGGGATGTTGATAGTGTGTGTTGAGCTACGGAGAGTGAGGGAGAGGCAGGTATGTGGCTGCTGCTACTTAACACTCGGCACCAGGTATGTAGCAGTGAGGAGAGGGACTGTCAGGTGGAGAGGGGTGGGGGGCTGTGGCTGGTGCTACTTAACGCCCAGTACTAGGTATGTAGTGGCAAGGGAAGAGGGCTGTGGCTGTGAGGAGGGGGAGCTGTGAGGTAGGGTAGGGCAACAGCTGCTGCTGTTTCACATCCAGCACCAAGTATGTAGCTGTGAGGTTGGGACTGTGTTGATGATGGGACTGTGAGATGGGGAAGTGGTGCTGTGGCTGAAGCACAGCACCACAGCCCACCTCTCCATTGTACACCCAGCACCAGGTATGTGGGTATGAGGTGGGGGCAGTGAGGAGGGGGCTGTGATGGGACTGAGATGGAGGAGGCTGTGGCTGCTGCTGCTGCTTCATGCCCAGCACCAGGTATGTGACTGTGAGGTAGTCTATGAGGCAGGGTGGGTTATGAGGTAGGGGTTGTGGCTGTAGTGTATGGGGAGGGTTGTGGCTATAAGGTGTGAGGTATTGGGGTTGTGGTTGAGGTGGAGGGGTTGTGGTTGAGGTGGAGGGGTTGTGGTTGAGGTGGAGGAGTTGTGGTTGAGGTGGAGGGGTTGTGGTTGTGGTGGAGGGGCTATGGTTGTGAGATGGGGGTTTGGTGGCTGAGGTGAAGGGTAGGGGCTGTTGGTGTGAGGGGCAGAAGGCTGTGGGTGTGAGGTGGCTGTGGAAATGGGTAGGAAAGGGGAAGGTCACAGGAGGCAACAATGGTCTCGATGATAGGATATCTGATCTCGGTTTCAACTTCCGGTGATAGGCTCGTCCTTCCGGTGGCCTTCTGTAGGGTCACATAATGAGACCACAGAAGGGGGAGATGGGGGACAGATGAGAGGGGGGACCACAGGATGAGAGGGGGGGTTATAGGATGTTGGGGGTCACAGGATGCTGGACTAAGGGATTGTGGATCATTGGAAGAAGTTATCTGATGGGACATAGGAGGTGATGGTAAAAAGAAATGTTGGAGGCCTGGTCAATGACCGGGGCATGAAGCCCCGAAAACACCTCAAGGTAAGGAGAGTCATTGGATGGAGAGGCACAACTGTGAATGGGTATATGGTTAGGTTCAGGAGGGGGACAGACAGAATCATGGTGTTGGGCTTTCAGGTTATTCAATTCCACCACAAGAGGTATTGAGCAACCAGCTAGTATATTGTACTTTAGTCATGATTATAGCATAGTTAAGAACTCTGTTTAAATAAAATGAGAAGTGGGGACATCTTGCTATTTCATATTATATAATGGTATGGTCGTGTTACATGATGGAATGATCACATTATGTGATGGTATCGAGCAGAGTTCTTTAAATGTTTTGGCTATGACCCAGTTTAATTTCATGCAATAACTTCACAACCCACTGGCATATATAATATATAAATGCATAGTTCTAGCATCCTTACCTTACAAAAACAGGAACCTAATATGATATACAATATTCTTACCTGTATGTTATATACTGTACATATATACATACTAAAAGCATTCATAGAATGTTCACATGTGCATCTTAGTTAAGTCTGTCTGAATTCTAACTTGTAAGATAACACAAAACATGTGAAAGGAATGGAAGGGAACTACCAGGAAAAAGCGGTAAACCATTACGATTATGCGTATAGCACTTAGTTAGGGGTCATATAGTTAGCACTTGGAAGGGGTCAGGATAAGGATTTGGGATGGAACGTGGGAGGGGAGGAGGAATGGTGCCAACTACTTGGACGGTTGGGGATTGAACGCTGACCTGCATGAAGTGAGACCGTCACTTTACCGCCCAACCCAAGTGGTTGGGCTGGATATGTGAAAATGTGAACTCTATATAAAATGCAGCAAGCAAAGTAGAGGAGAAATGTGTAATTACCCTTTCCTGTTATGTTTTGAGGCCTGTTTGTCATTTATCATGGTCCAGTCTGGCTTGCCAGAATAAAAGGCCACACCCAAATCGGCAGTAGGGTTAATCCAGCTTCTCTCCTTGAACTTGAGCTTTGTTAGAGTTGAAAAGCCAGTCTAGCACACGTAAGCGGTCATAAAAGGTAGTAAGAGCAAGACACATTCTTCACTTAAGTTGAGACATTCCTTGAATAGATCATAAACGATGACAGTGAGGATGTCTTGTGCCTGAATCTTAATGAATTATCACTTGAGACAGGTTAACTCTTCTGCCTGACGAGGTGTTAAGTTTAACCCAACAACAGAATCTTGGATTTCAAATGCTAATAGGTCTTTCATTCAATGTTTTACTTTCAAATATATCATCATCTCTTCATGAATATACTGTTCAAAGCTCACTGTTCATGAAGCCATGGAGGCTCATCCAGAAATTGGCATTTCATGTGCAGATGAGGACTCACAATAACGTGGCCAAAATGTTGACCAAACCACACACTAGAAAGTGAAGGGACAATGACGTTTCGGTCCATCCTGGACCATTCTCAAGTTGATTGTAACTTGAGAATGGTCCAGGACGGACCAAAACGTCATCGTCCCTTCACTTTCTAGTGTGTGATTTGGTCAACAAATTGGAATTTCATTACATTCAATGCTGTTTTTTAATAGTTTCCTATTTTCTTGGCCAATAAACCTGTTAGGCTTCTTGAAATCTCACCTCCCCCCCCCCTCCTAGGCAAGTATTTCTTAAACTTTACTGCACCTCTTTGGGTTTCAAATTTTCTGTTCTTATACAAATTTATGATGTTTACACATACGATAAAACAGAGTACAGAAGTTATCACATGCCCAGGTAAAGAAGCAACCTGTAAAGTGAACATAAAATACTTTTCCATTACTCAGATTTGTTTGTTCAGACTATTCACATTTATAAATTTCTGTATTTCAGGCTGAGTGGAAGTAGTGGAAGCACTGGTTTCAGGAGACATTTGCAGACAGCTGTACCCCCACTCACTCCATCATCGAGAGTGACAGCTTTGCCAAAACGTCGCCTTTCACCAACAAATCTACCTCCAGCAACATTTTCCACCACTACAGCTGCTTACACTTCTGCAAATGTTAACAGTATGACTGTTCAGGGTACTTTAAATACCAATGTGCCAACGTTTTATGGGTCTACACAGGGGAAATCTGAAACTGTGTTTAATAAATCCAGTGGTGCAGGGGACTCGACAGATTCCAATAGAGCAACTCTATACAGTAGCACTACCTGTAACAAGGCAACACTTTATAGTGTTGATAGTGATAGTTTAGAAGCATTTTATGACAGTGTTAATACTGGTAACTATTATGGAAGTGCAAACAGCAATAATGTCAGAATTAATAATGATGCCATCACAACTACATCCAGCTACAATGGTAAGAAAACCTCGGCATCCGTCCAGCCAGCCATGCAATCATTATCAAGTGCAAGTTCTAATCCGTCCGTCATCACGACAACAGCAACTGCAGTGACAACAGCTGGAGAGTGGCCACAACAAAATATCAGACATTTTGGATCACCACAATACAACAGCTCAAACTCTAGCTCATTTGTAGCCACAGGTCAGTAGTAGAAAACAAAGTACAGCTGGTTTTCTCAAATAATATTTTTGTTGCCTGTACTCAAATACTGTAATAACAAAATATGGTACACATAGTACAAAAATCTATATTTATAAAAGATAATGTCTGTCCAAGGATGGAGGCCAGACACTTGGAGTTAGTCTCGTCAAACTTTGCAGGGTGACTGGTCCTTATCAGAGGATGGCCATGGGCAGGGGAGGGGGGGTGAGCCTCTAACACCCCCCCCCCCCTCCTTTACAGTGATGAGTGAAAAGTGAAGAGTAAAAAAGGCAGTGAAAGGTTGGGAAGGTGAAGGGTGGTGAGGGGAGGAAATGTGGTAAAGGATAAAGGATAGGGAAAATAGTGAAGAGTGTGGAAGGTGGGGGAAGGCAGTGGAGTGGTGGTGGTGAAGAGTAATGGTGAGTGGGGAAGATCGTGAAGAGTAGGGAAAGTGGCAGAGGAAAGGTGTTATGGTATGTGTTTAAGATAGTTACAGTACTGTATTTACTATATGTTCCTGCAGGACCGAGCTGTCATCTCTTGGACCACACATTTCTATCAGTTGTACCGACTTTCAAACTATTTTCCTATATCGTATCTACTATGTATATTTCTTTCTCTCACACATCCTCAGGACAGCAACAAAGCCAGGACTCAAGTTCATGTTGAGTCCTGGCTTTGTTGCTGTGGACTCTTCCCTTTCACAGTATACACTCAAATGCTTTAATCTTTCTAACAAACGTGACCTAACATAAGCTTACCCTTCCATTTATCTTTTTCTCTTTCCTTTTCTTTCTATCGTCTCTTTTTTTTCTGTTCATTGTCTTCTCTTACATTCCCTTGCTATCCTCTTCTTATTCCTATTACTATCTCCTTCTCATTCAGTGGTTATAATAGGAGCTGCCTCGAATGGGCCAATAGGCCCTCTGCAGTTCTTATTCCTACTACTATCCCCTCTACTACATCTTACTTTGCTCCTCACCTCTCTTGCCTATTTATTGCCTGCATCTACTTCCTCATCACAATCGACTTGAGAATGGTCCAGGACGAACCGAAATGTTGTCGTCCCTTCACCTTCTAGTGTGTGGTCTGGTCAACATACTTTAACCACGTTATTGTGACTCATCGCCTGCACATTGAATGGTTCCCAACTGTAAACCACTGTAGAAGAATAACTCCTCGAAGCTTCGAAACTGGGCAGCCAGGGGTCACCCCACTGGCTATCCCAGTACTAATACCACTCCACCATCAATTCCCTATAAGTTATGGACAGTAATTACCTAAGCGTAGTTACAGGATGAGAGCTATGCTCGTGGGTCCGTCTTCCCAGTACTTTTTGTCACATGACATGAAACTTCTCACTTAACTTGTCCCAACTTTCTAGCACTTAGTTTGCAAAAGAAAACATTTTAATATTTTTTTAGCAGCTTTGTTTCCTTAGCTAGAGTCTGTGACCTCTTGTTCTTGAAGATGCAGGTTTCAATAATTCTTTATCAATTTTATAATAATAATATAATATATTATATTATATATATATATATATATATAATTATAATGTATATTATAATATAATTCTCAACAACAATCTGTTGTTGAGAAAGGCTCCAACCTGCCGAAATGTTCAACTCCCTTTCCCTTTCTCTGTGGGTTTTCCGCACACACACAGAATAAATAAATAAAAATAAATAAATAAAATATATAATATATACTGTATATGTACGTATGTTTGTCTCTATAAATACTTTCACCTGGATTATAGGTGCCTTGAACTGCAGACCAAAAATAAGCAGTACTATGCACTCCAGCTTTTAGCCATTTATTATTCTTAAGTTAAAATTTTCTATTCCATAACTGAAGAATCATGGGAAAAGTGTGTTCTTTTACATTCAGTACTTTAATACATATATGAATAGATAATTGAATATATTTATATCTTTTTACTTTCCTCAGATGCAGTGCAGCAGTCTTGTGCAACCAGCATCTGTTCACAAACTGCAAGTTCGACTACATCTGCTGCTTCCCAACGGTTCTCACACAAGCATACTCTTCTCCGTCGTGCTTTCCGTGAAATGTTAAAGAGCGATTCTGAATCATCACCAGAGCCGCCTCTAACAGATAAATGTGTCTTCAACTTTGATGTTGCTACCAGTTTACCAAGCATAACTGAAGGTGCATCAAGCTTTCAAGAGTCATTACCTGGATCCACTTCTCTTCCTGAGAGTTCAAAAAGCATGCCAGATACATCAGTACCCACAAAGAGCCTTAGATTCTCCGAGTCAACCACAAACATTGATAAAATATCTGAAAGTAGCATTTCACAAGTTAATAATAAAACTGACTCTATTAACCAGGAAAATAAATTGACAAATACTGCAGAAGGTACATTTAAAACTGAAGATTTAAAGATTTTCAACAAAACTGGAGACACAAAGACCAATAAAGTACAGATGATTCAAGAGTTATCTGAAACTGTAGAGAACAAAGTTTTGGAATCCATAACAGATGTTGGTGGCAGCTTTGATGTTAGATCTCTAAAACATGAAAGCAAATCTGAAAGTGAAATTCCAGGGAAAGACGAAGATAGAGAAATGCAATCAGCATTGTTGCTATCAGTCCTCTATAAAGAACTAATGAGAACACGGCAAGAAGTTGAAAAACTGAGAAAAGTACAAGAATTAATGCTCACAGAGAAAGGAGAAAGAAAAGATGACAACACACAAGAAAATAGAAAGGAAGAAATTTGTGTATCAAGTGATGAAACAAAATCTGAGAAGAGAAAGTGTTCAGAAGAATCTAGTGACAATGAGACAGTAATGGAAAATAAAGAACTCGGTTTACAGCCAGAGCCCAAAAAATCAAAAATTACAATTCGAAGTGATCTCATATCATCAGGCCATAATACTGCAGAAACGATCCAAGCAACAGCAGCAAATACGTCAGTTCTTCCAGGGAATAGTCTTTCAAAAGCAAACACTAGTCCATTAGTATTTCCGACAACTGAAGTGCCACAGACCTGTCCTCAGTTGTCAGAGCAAAGTTCAGAATTATGTGTAATTAGCCTAGCAAGCTCATCACCACAGATAAATTATTTGTTATCAAGAACAAGCCCTGGAATGTCTAGAACTAGCCCAGGGTTAGCAAGAACCAGCACTGGAGTATTAAGAACTAGTCCTGGGCTGCCTAGGGCGAGTCCTGGGCTGCCTAGGGCGAGTCCTGGGCTGCCTAGGGCGAGTCCTGGGCTACCTAGGGCAAGTCCTGGGTTACCAAGAACTAGTCCTGGGCTGCCGATGGCTAGTCCTGGGCTACCGAGGGCTAGTCCTGGAGTGCCAATGGCTAGTCCTGGGCTGCAGAGGGCTAGTCCTGGAGTGCCAATGGCTAGTCCTGGGCTGCAGAGGGCTAGTCCTGGAGTGCCAATGGCTAGTCCTGGGCTGCAGAGGGCTAGTCCTGGAGTGCCAATGGCTAGTCCTGGGCTGCAGAGGGCTAGTCCTGGAGTGCCAATGGCTAGTCTTGGGCTGCAGAGGGCTAGTCCTGGAGTGCCAATGGCTAGTCCTGGGCTGCAGAGGGCTAGTCCTGGAATGCCAATGGCTAGTCCTGGGCTACCGAGGGCTAGTCCTGGAGTGCCAATGGCTAGTCCTGGGCTGCCGAGGACTAGTCCTGGGCTGCCGAGGGCAAGTCCTGGAGTGCCAGTGGTTAGTCCTGGGATGCCAATGCTTAGTCCTGGAGTGCCAAGAGGTAATCCTGGGGTGCCAATGGCTAGTCCTGGGATGCCAAGAGCAAGTCCTGGGGTGCCAATGGTTAGTCCTGGAATGTCGAGGTCTAGTCCTGGAGTGCCAATGGCTAGTCCTGGGGTGCCAAGAACTAGCCCTGGCCAACCAAGAATAAGTCCTGGTGCATCAAGATTAAGCCCTGGAACTCTAAGGACCAGTCCTGCAACATCACAGTCTAATGTGATGTTACTGCAGAATAGTCCAATAATGTCACAGAATTCTCACATAGTGTCACAGTCAAGTCATGCAATGCTTACATGCCCTACATATTCAGCGAGTGGGTCTCCTGCGCAAAATGCTAACATTGCTTTACAAAGAGTGTCCACTTTACAGCCTAATACTAGCCCAGGGTCAACTAGATCTATACCTGCAATAACTTGTGCAAGTGGTGTAATACCCATAACTAGCCCTAATACTTCAGTATTACAGACAAATCCTGCAGTATCTAGGACAAGCCCAGTAATATCAAAAGTAAACCCCATGCCAAGTATTATTCCAGTAAATAAATCGGATAAACAATTATCAGGAATGAGTCGTAACAAATTGCGTACTGTATTTGGTATTTCTAATTCTGAAGTAGAAGTAATGCCTGTATCAGTAGGAGGAAAGTTTCCTCTTTGTGAACCTCATCCACAGACTTACCTAAAGCTGGTTGATGATCATCAACAGCAACAAGAAGCTTCTCTTCTGTTAAGTGCTGTCAAGGGAATAAGACGAGATAGTGCATCAGCAGATGTCGAAGTTTTGTCCACACATGGACCTTCACATTTCCATCATTCAAGAGTTCCACATGAGGATCCCAAGAGACTCCTCCATTCTCAGTCATATGATGGAGAAATGAAACAAAATACTTACTCCACTTCTGACTTAACAGATTTATCATCAGTCCAAAAACAAACCTCAACAATGAAACCAGCACTTCTCAGAAGGCATTCAGACAACCTTGACATGCATCAAGCAAATTCTATGATGCATCACCTCATGTATCCCAGTGCACACACAAATCCTGCCATATCTATTCATTCTACAAGCTCCTCATCCACAGAACAACAAAAGAGTGCATCACACTATTCATTTGCTCAGCCACAATGTAGTCCAACACAGTACCCCACACCTGTTCAATCTATGAGAAGAAACAGTGAAAGCAGCTGTACAGAAAGATCTAGGGACTATCAGCAGGCTGTTGCAATGAATATGCAGCAACACCACTATCCACAGCATGTGAATCCTACTGCACCTATAATGAGAAGTCTTGGACCAGATAAAGCCACTATCTTTCCCATACCTGCACCCATGTCTACAGTTATTCGCCCTTATAAGCCGCCCACACCACCACCGTCATCACGAAACATTTTGGAACAATATCAGAATGAGAATTTTTACCGATCAAACTTGCCATTTTTTGAGAGAATAAGAGAGAACATTCAGCAATCTTTTGATACCAGAATAGGCTCTTTAGACAGGGGAGGTCATGTAGGTCAGAAGAGACCACAGCCAGCAAGCCAAACTGTCGAAAAACCTCTACATCCACAAACCTTTGCACCTCGAGTACTTGTCCGTGAGTCCATTCCAGAAACACCAGCACATATGCCTCCTCCAAACTTTTCTTCCCCACATTACGCTAATGCTAACCAACACTTGTCAGGTGTTATGCCCAATCATCATGGTCACTATTCAAATAACATGCATTCAAATTCAGCTATTCACCACATGACTCAAGCTGGGCTACATCCAAATAATCAAGTTCCTTCGTCTGTTATTGCCAACGCCGCCACCACTCAACGCAACAAAAGCAGTAGTGGAAGTGGTACTGGGGAGAAGAGGCAATGTCTCAACTGCCCCCAGCCAGCTCGGTTTCTATGTTCAGGGTGCAAGAAAGCTTGGTACTGCTCAGAACAATGTCAGGTAAAATTTGATTTGATCTATCTTTTTTCTGCTTGTTATATTTTGTACACATTTTTTGTATTACACAGTAAGACGATGGAGAATATTTTGGTAAGGAAGAGCCAGTATGTTTTAAATAGTAGAATGTTTAATTAAGACAAGCACCTGCTATCAAGAAACATTTGTTCAATACCAAGATATGACTGCACAGTGTGTGGTGTTAGGGAAATGATGCCCAAGTACACCATTTGCTTCCATCTAGTTCCATTTTTTTTTAAGTGTGCCACCTATCTAATTTTGATGTCTGCTGCAAACTTTAGTATTATGAACTGAATATGCCAGACATATTTCACACACGATTATGATAAACTTTCAAAATTTTAAGAGATATCCATATAATTTTGTGTAAATTCTAAGTGCAATAATATATGTATAGGGATATGCATAGATGCATGACTTTTCTGTGTAGGCACAGTGACTTTTGATTACCAAGTATTTTTTTTTTTTAATGATGCTCCAACTTACTTGACAGCTTTTACTCTCTCTGACTTTTAAACTGCTTCACTGAGGCTCTTTATCTTTTTATGTAAGAGCAGCAGTCAATATAGCAACTGATGGCAGTCAGCAAAACTACATAAATAGGTTAACTGGTAGTTGACCATAATATTCTCTTAACTGGACTGATTATTCTTGCCTGGTCCCCTAGCACCTGTAATGATCTGCAGGGACATTGTGAAAAGTCCCTGGCCAGATATCACAGATCATACCTTAGGCAGCAGCAAAATGAACTGTCTTGGAAAGTCTTGGAAAATTTTCTATAATAAATATGAAATATACTGCATGTCCCTATTTCTACAATCATAAAGAAAAAACCCAGTGTTGAATGTAATGAAATGCTATTTTCTGGGTGAGCCCCCAGAGGCTCCCTGCTGTTAAAGGGCTAATATGCGAATCATTAAACTAATGTCCCAGTCTATAGAGTTCAGTCTACCAAGAACCACGAGCCAGAACCTGGCTTCCTCAGAGAGGCGCAGGGAGCAATGTGACCCTGGAACGCCCCCCTCCCTGTGGTTGGGAATTTTCCTTATCTGCCATCGACTGGGTTTAGGCACCCAGAAAGGTAGGTATAACAAAACAGACCCCACATGGTAAGAAAATTGCAACCAAAAGCCGAACAGTCAGAACTCCCTCCAATCCCAAGGAAACAAGCAAACGACACTCTCTATTGCTGCATCGCTTGTCCGTGTAACCCCATCCCCCGGAAGGTGGAGGGGCTAACTGACTGCTATGGGAAGCCCGGGCTAGGTGTTGCTAACCAGTTAACACCCAAAGCTAACAAGGGGGCAACATCAAAACTCTGACACCCCTGCGACGTGTACAAACACGAGGGCCTAGCGGAGGGTCACCAATATATTATAAGTGGAACTATAGTCCCACCAGGCAAAGAAAACCCAAACAAAAGTACAATGTCCCCAGAGGAAACAGGAACCGGCTGCCACATAGGTAGGCAGGCTGCACAATACCTTTATGCCCCAGCCAGCACGATACTAATCCCTACCGAAGGCCAAACAAGTGCCATGAATTACCAGCTGGCCCTAAGGGCGGGGTAAGTGACGAGCAGCAAAAACTACTACGGAATTGGTTCCCGAACGCACCAAGGAAGAGAACCCTAACATACAAGGGTAGTAGTACTCACTGGGTGCTTAGGGAAGGATGCTCCTAAGTGCATGCAGCCCTGGTACTCTTGAGGACACCTGGCCACCACAGAGGACACCACAAAGGCAAATCACTGCTTGGAAAGCGAGGCCAGAGAAAGCATCCGCTATGGTTTGCATTAACTAACGAACTGGAGTGCTGGGTCGCCGGTGCAGGGGTGGGGGTGGAGGGGACCTGGGAAGGGGCAGCATGGATGAGGGACGTGGCAATAGATCGTGACGTTTGCTTGTTTCCTTGGGATTGGAGGGAGTTCTGCCTCTCTGTTCGGCTTTTGGTTGCAATTTTCTTAACATGTGGGGTCTGTTTTGTTAAGCCTACCTTTCTGGGTGCATGACACCAGTCAATGGCAGATAAGAAAACCCCCCAACCATAGAGGTTTTCTCGTGGTCCCCAGTAGGCTGAACTCCATAGACTAATGCCTCTGTCTAATGATTTGCATATTAGCCAGATAGCTCCAGAGCACCAAAGGGGCTCCCCACAGAAAAACAGTACAGTATTACAAGTTCACTCATCAATGCAGTATTATCGTATACACTGTAAGTGGCTTCCCATTGGCAGGGACAGAAAGCCCGTTAGGCTCCTCTAGGTCGCCCGAGACCAATGACTGACCTTTGCCAGAATGCAACCTACAACAGTTGCCTAACTCTCAGGTGCCTATTTGCTGCTAGGTGAACAAAGGCATCAGGTGTAAGGAAAGGTGTCCAGAGACCTCTTCCTACATGGGAATCAGACCTGGGACCTGTCGACTGTGAGCCAACTACACTGACCACTGTGTTACAGGACACTCAAATAAAGAAGTTTTAATTCAAATTTACTACATTAAAGAAATATGTGAAGTCTAAATTCATTTGCTTGCCAGAAATTTTTTTATACCTGGTAATTAAACTTTACATGTACTGTAATATATCATGCAGTTTAGATAATATAAATATGTGTATACCTACAATGATCATTGTTTGCTTTCATTTCAGCGAGACCACTGGGGTGTCCATAATACAGCATGTGTTCCGTGAGCAGCCGGTCCCTTATAGAGATAACCGATGCTGTACACAAGCATCCAGGTGATTAATAAGATACGGCTGCCACAGTCTCTCAAAAGTGCGTGTGATGACTTCATGTTTCCTAATGCTGCGTGACCTGACTTAGTTACATATGAGTTGCATAAATTGTGAGGCAATATAGTTACAGGTTTATGCATTTGGCTGTGAAAAAGCCTTTATAATATGAATATGCATTGTAAATTGAATAAGAGTTTTATAAATACCTGCAACTGAATTTTTTCTTTTTAACTCTAGCAGTAAAAACTGATAGTTGCCATATTATTAATACAGATTAAGTTTGTCTTTGGAAAAGAGGATTTTTTAAAAGGCTCTTAGTATGTTGAAAAATAACTAGTGTTGTACTGTACCATAATAAAGTAAAGGATCGATAACTTATGACAAAGAACATACATTATAAAGAACCACTTGGAAAAATCTCAATGTCATAAGAAATGCTGTTAATGATGTGAGCACATTATGCTTTATTTAACTGGTTATGTGAAAATGTTAAAAATGTATACGAATTTTAGCATATGATATGTCACACACACACACACACACACACACACACCAAAAGGATGTCAGCGGTATATACAAAGCTGGCTATGCAAGGCTGGCAAACATAAGAACTGCTTTTAGAAAGTGTGTAAGGGATCATTCAGAACCTTGTATACCTCATGTGTCAGTCCAATACTGGAGTATGCGGCTCCAGCGTGGAGTCCACATCTAGTCAAACACAAAACAAAGTTAAAAAAAGGTTCAGAGGTATGTCACCACTAGTTCTTGAGCTGAGGGGTATGAGCTACGAGGAAAGATCACTGGAACCAAACCTCACAACACTAGCAGACAGAAGAATTAGGGAAGACATGATCACCACCTATAAAATTCACAGAGAAACTGACAGGGTAGATAAGGATAAACTAATTAGCATAGATGGCACATGAACAAGGGAACACAGGTGAAAACTTAGTACCCGAAAGAACCATAAGGACATTAGAAAGAACTTTTTCAGTGTCAAGAGTAGTTAACAAATGGAATGCATTAGGATGTGTTGTGGTGGGGGTAGACTCCATACACAGCTTCAAATGTAGATATAATAAAGCCAAGTAGACTCTGGAATTTTTTTTCCAATTAAATTTAAAAAGTCAATTAACACCAGGTAATTGATAGTTGAGAGACGGGACCAAAGAGCCAAAGCTCAACCCTGGAAAAGCACAACTAGGCGAGTACATATACACACAATACGTTACAGACATACTTTGGTGTACCACCACTAATAATATGACCCATGTATTATATATTATATGCTGTATATATACAAACGTATATCAAATATATAATGTGTATGTGTAAATAAGTGTATTGGTTGAACAAGACCACACTACATACGAGTGTGTACCCAAGAGCTTAAGGTGTTTCTTTACCAGTTACAAAAGCCTAGGTTCATAAATATTGTAATTCACACAGTTAAGCCAGAGAAGCCGTGCAGGTACAGTCCATGAATATTATTTTATATACTTATAATGTTATTGGCATTAGGTTAATAATGGAGTTCCATATTTTGAATTCTTGCCACATGTTTCCCCACCATTTGTTTCAGACTCAAGTGTGCCATAATTTTAGATTATTTTTATACATGCTAATAATTATGCTATTTATTTTATTTTGTTATAGAAGAAGTGTAGGTCTCCAAGACTCATGAGGTGCACCCAAACTAACTTATACATATCATAGTATATAATATTTTTTATAACTTTGCTACTTTTTCATGTGAATCTGTAAATATACATCTGTCTTTGATTATAGAAATGTAAATTTTGTAGCTTTTTAGTCGGTGTGCATATATGTAAATCATGTGTTAGTGCATTGTACATAAAGTTATTTTATGCCTGTGTAATTATTGTTTCCCTAAACTATGAATATAAAGAAAGAAAGTGAATGATTGCATGATTTACCTTATTTTGTGTGTGCATTATATGTATTATAGAAACCTATTAGTTCACTCCTGCCTGAAATGCTTAATTTCACTGACACAACCTCATCAAATGACAGTGGTGAATAATTGCCTAAACTTTGTCCACATAACATAAACATAAGTAATTATCAAAAGAAAGCACCAAGCTGGGGAGACTATATAGCACCATCAAAGTTGTTGGATATTCAAAAGGTTCTGAATATTAATAAGAATGCCAGGACGAGACCAAAAGTGCATAAGGTGTGCGATATCAAAGGTATCGGATTCACCAAGGATACCGTCATGGGACATGACTGCAAGGGACAGTTGGGAAGCAAGACCCACGAATGTCCTAAATATCAGGACATTCAAGGTGGAGATGTACAACTGTAGGAGGGACAATGTAGTTCAGACAATAAGGAGTGTAGTGCCCCATTAAGTGCCCGAGAGTTAAACGTCTTTGACTAATATGTCACTTTGCCAGAGCCATTCCCCACTGCCAGTTATTTTGGGAGTAGGAAGGCCAAGGAGGACAGGTTACCCTTAAGAGAGCAGTTTGTTACCAGTAACAAGACTAATGATCCTGCCAATGGACACAGAGTGAAGAATACAATATGACACGAGGAGAAATATTGGTAACATGAACTGAGAGAGAAACTTGCGAGACATCTGTACAGAAAAAGTAAAGTGATGAAAGGGAACAGGGCCCACAGGAGAGGGGGGTAACAGTCAAAGCATGACATAAGCAAGAGTGAGGGTGTTGTAGAGACTGCATAAGGTAGCAAAGACAGCAACGATCATGACGATACTGTAGAGACAGGATGCCGGTTTCAACAGGCTCAGGGTAGAGAATTGTTACGGACCCGAGCCCAGCGTCCGAGCACGGAGCAGTGACGACTGCGCCATCTGTGGGTCAGCTCCCGAAACCCCCTCCAAATGGACGGCGCCATCTAGTGAGGACGAGATATACTGGCCACAAGGGCTAGTTTCCAGTCCTAATCAGCTCGTGACGTGGCAGCTGCTGACCTCTGGTGAGGTGACGCTTAGACAGCAACGCCATCTATGGAGTGGATAGGTGGGCGTTTGTGTCTAAGCCTGTAAGTGAGGTGTCCTAGAGTGTAACCGGTACTGATGACGTGTCTGATTACAGAGTCGACCTGGGACTGCTGTAATGGAAGTTGGATCAGTCTACCCGAGGCAGCCGTAGTCTCCAAGTATTAGCTGCAGAAGTTGTGAGTCACCCCCCGGATGAACACTGTTGTGTTAGCCTGCCTGTGACGTGGCAGTTGAGGAATTGTCGTACCCGGGGCTGACTAGTGGAGAAGACTAACCACTGGGGTGTTGTGGCGAGGAGAGTGATCTGTGGGATCACACGAGGCTCCTGCCTAGGGCTCGCTACCCTAGTATCGGTCGTGGAGTGGCCTAACCAGCGGAACTGATTGGAACCTGCCAGCTACAGGCTGGATTTGTGGTTGAAGGCCTCCACGACGGTGCCCCCATATGTGCAAGAGATATGGTGCAACTAAGACAAGCAAGTGTCAAAGATTAATCCCAAAAGTTTAGTAGAATCTATATACAGAAGAGGATTACCATAGAGCAACAGGGAGGGACAAAGAATGACCTGCTTCCGAGTATGAGCCATACACAAATCTTAGTTGTAAAGAACTTCTAGCTACGATACCTGTTACCTGTGGTAACAGGTGGGTTACCTGTTACCACAGTTACCTGTGGGTTACCACAGGTAACCTCAAGGTATGATTGGTGGCCCAGGATGACACAGCATCAACTGCAAGTTGAAGCTGTCGTTGGAGGAAATGCGAGTCATCACCTCAACAACAGAAGGTAAGATCATCAACATAGAGCAGTGCTTATAACACGACTTTGAGTTACACGTTCGTATTGTCGAAAAGAGTCAAGAGAGAGTGGTACCCAGCCTCACTAAATGAATGACTAAAGAGGAAGCATTGTAGGAAGAGGGAGAGTGCCACAAAGGCCAAAATAATGGAGTTAAGACATAATATGGTATCTCCAGGTGGTGTCATATACCTTTTCCAGGTCAAAATAGACAGCAACAATGGGGGTCTTTGCAGCAAATACATTACTAATATAGATCTCTAAGTTCAGTAATACATCAGTTATGTTGCAACACTTGCAAAAGCCAAATTGAGAAGAGGAGAGGTGGTGACAGCGTTTTAAGAACCACATTAGATGGACACTTACGTTCAAAAAGTTTGCAGATGCAATTTGTTAGGGAAATAGGACAGAAGTCCTTAGTGGATGTTCCTAGAGAACCTGCTTTCCAAAAATGCTTTCCAACCACCTCAAGCCAGTTCTTAGGGACTGACTCCTCCTCCAAGATAGTTATAAATATTCAGTAAATATTGAAATGTGCATGGAGGGAGATGGCAAAGTATTCCATAATGAATGTCATCTGAGCCTGCTGCCGTAGAACCACAGAGCGTCACAGCAGACTGGAGTTCCATGAGATAGGATCTTTATAGGGAAGCTGTAGGTGTGTGCAAAAATCTAAGGAACAAGATTCAAGAAGCAGCATATGAGTAAGGAAAGAGGGAGGGAGATGAGAACCAGAGCTAACAGTAAAAAAAAAGTATGAACCCAGTTCGGATGTGACTGTTACCGGATCCGCCACAACAGATCCAGAGGTGAAGGACTGGCGAGACATCAGATCAGTGGGCAAGGGCTCAACAAATATAAGCATCATCAAGGAAATAGTCTTCAGTAGCAGGCATAAACCAAGCGTATACTGCCATTGTGCCAATGACATATAGTATTCATAATAGTAAAAGACCTAGAAGAACTAATTGCAACCATCTAGAGAGAGAGTCAGGACTCTGATTTACCCATGAAAATAGCAACAATAACAATCTACCTGTCCTGGATTTGTTAATAACAAAAACAAAAGCATCTCTAAGCATCAGCATATATACCAAGCCTACAAACATAGGATTATACCTAAACAGTAGAAGTGAGTGCTCCTAAAGATATGAAGCCAGTGTTCTCACTGCTTATATTCGTTGAGGTCTTACCCCCCTACCCACTGATTTGAATGGAGCAATGTGAGTAGGAAGTTTGAAAGGATAACATAACTACTGGTGAACAATGGCTATAGTAACCACAAGATAAACACCACTATAAAGTGTCAAAATTATTGTGATGAAATTAAGTGCAATGTCAGTGACTGCTGACCTGCAGGCAAGCAATTTGCTTCAAAGCTGGTCCTCCTTTTCTCAAGTGTAGATAAATGGGTGCTAATGTTTCGTTCCACAGTAACTCCTACAGTGCTCTGACATGCCTTGCTAACTCACACCACAAACTACCATGCTTTCAGGTAAAACATCATTGTAAATAATGTTTGTTCTCAACTTGCTATTTCTCTACATGACAACACATTATTTAGCTCCCCAGCAGGCAAAATATCTTTGAGTAACATTCAATTAACATTGGATCGATGTTAATTCAATGCTAGATAAATGTCGTTTACCAAGATTTGTCCAGGAGCCACGTTTCCCAGAGATGTGTGTCAGGGGCTCCACATAATCACTGACAGTCATTCTACCAAATAGGTCACATTAACATATCATTATTCATAATTTTCTTTATTGATTTGTTTGTAATACCTCAAAAATATCATAGTTATTAATGAACAGTTCTAAAATCATAAGAATTTGAAACTCTAACAATGGTATTTGATTAGTTCACATTCAACAGGAAATTCTGCACGAGCATTAATTTTCTAGAAAAACAAGGTACTGTATATACATTTTTCCCTTCAAAATTGCAATAATGATTATAATACTTCACTTGATATCCCATACCTCCTCAAATCCTGAACACAGCTTGGCACAAGCTAAGGCTGCAGAAAGGTGGTACCTGGAGAAGGAAACCTCTTCTTCTACATAATCTGCTTCCACCTGAAAACATCAACACAATTTCAGTCAGTGCAGAATAATACAATTAAATAGCCCAGTCCACATATGAGGCATAAGTGACAACATTTTGGTTCCTCCTGGACCCTCATCAAGTTGTGGGTTATTGGTTTCAGTGGAGTTATTGCAACTTATTCTCTGCAAAACATTTAAGCCTGATGGGTTAAGACATTTGTCTGATATTCACCAGGATGCTGGTTCAAATTCCTGTACTGCTCAAACTGATTTTCTATTAAGCTTGTTTGTGTGCCTTGTCCCACTACTAAAAGAAAATGCACACATGAAAGCTATATCCATATGTTATTATGACAGAAAATGGTGGTTAGTGTGGCAGAAATTGAGAACAAATGTCTTTCACTACATTGCTTTATCTTCTTCCACGCTAGTACTTCCTCACTCCATTAAATTAGAAACAGGATGACAATGGAGGTTCAGCCAATGAAAAAGTTTCATAAATTTGCTTGCTATATATTTCTGAAATAAATCGCACCAAAGCCGTTGACCTTATGGTGGTCTTTGACACGTTAGGTTGATCTTAAAAGCATGAGCTTTAATAATTATCACACACACAGGGGTTACTGTGTTGGTGCATGAGTTACAGGCAATTTATTTGTACCTAGATTGCATCTGGATAGGGTTCTGGGAGTTCCTCTACTCCCCAAGCCTAGCTAGGGGACAGGCTTGACTTGTGAGACCTTGGTCCAACAAGCTGTTGCTTGTAGTGGCCCAAGAGGCCTACATATCCAACCACAGCCTGTTTGGTTTGGCACTGCCTGAAGAAAACTATCCAGGTTTCTCATAAAGACATCCACGTTTGTTCCAGCAATATTTCTTTCACTCGCTGGGAGGATGTTGAACAACCATGGACCTCTGATGTTTATACAGCGTTCTCCAATTGTACCTCTGCTCTTCACTGGTTCTATTCTGCATTTCCTATCGTTCACTTTAGTACAGTATGTTGTTAATTTACTGTGTAGATTTGGGACCTGGCCCTCCAGTATTTTATATGTGAATATTATTTGATACCACTCTCGTCTCCTTTCTAGGGAGTACATTTGGAGAGCTTCGAGACTATCCCAATAGTTTAGGTGTTTTATCGTGTTTATGTATGCTGTATATGTTCTTTGTATTTGGTGTATAATTTTACTTAACTCGGCCACAAATGAAGTGTAGTGATTAGGTTTTTTCTCCAGGGAAGTCAATGATATAAGGAATGAGTGATATTTCTGTAATATCCATAACTTCTTTCTTGTTACTGTTCCCATGTTTTGCTTTTGGTCCGATGCCTTCTCCCTTCCCCATGATAATAGGAGAGGTGATAATGATACAGTATTGCATGTCTAAAAGCACCTGGTTATTTTTCCTCTATAATGATCGAATAGGTAGCATTATCATTAAAATAACTTTGAATATCATTACAGGTTTTAAAAATATTATGTGGGAGCTGCAATCCACAAAACACATGCAACTTTCCTGTAATGTAATGAATGGGCTAAATCTGCTAAAGACAAAAACTGCAATTATTTTTATCAACAATGTTCACAACCTTTCACTTACTACATTTAACTATAAACCCTAGTTGTTCACGTGACATCCCTTACCATTTGTGAGAGTTAAAAATCATTGTTTTATTTACAGTGGCAAACATGAAAAAAATGAGCCGCTTATGGGGGTTGTAATGCTGAGAATGATAATTACATCACACCAAAATAATGATTGAACTCCATACAGCGACTTGGTCTTTTCAAAGACTAGAACTACCAATACTGTACTGTACATTATTCATATCTCATGCTGTAAATTTACCAAATGCAGTTTGACAGTGCAGGAGTTCATATTCACCAAATTTCGAGCATTTTATTGTTGCGTTATATTATTAACTGTTTTGATAAACCGAGTTACATGTTTCTGATCTTGAACTTGGCTTGAGCCTTGGTCAACCAAGCTGTGACTCACATGTCGGGCTGTGAGCAGCCGCATTAAAAAGCCTGGTTGATCAGACCAGCAACCAGGAGGCCCTAGTCAGAGACAGGGCCATGGGGACATTGAACCCTGGAAACTTCAACACCTTACCTACCTACCTGCAGAATAGAACCAGTGAAGAGCAGAGGTGCCATGGGCACAATCAGAGAACACTGTATGAACATCAGAGGTCTTCGGTTGTTCAACGTACTACCAGCGAGTATCAGAAATATTACAGGAACAACCGTGGACATCTTCAAGAGGAAACTAGATTGTTCCTTCAAGGAGTGCCGGACCAACCTGGCTGTGGTGGGTATGTGGGCCTGCGGGCCGCTCCAAGCAACAGCCTGGTGGACCAAACTCTCACAAGTCTGGCCTCGGGCCAGGCTTGGGGAGTAGAAGAACTCCCAGAACCCCATCAAGCAGGTATCAACCAGGTACCTCAGTTGGGTAGGTAGGTAGGTATGAATAGAAACTGAGCAGGAGCATCTTTAACCGCTGAAAAAATATGTTCCATAAATGTTTAGGTTTCAGGAGAAGCAGATGGGAATGGTCTTACTTGCAACACCATCCTCAAAACAATGCCCTGTAGCAGTCATTTCCTCTGTAACTTAAACAAGCTTTAAGTATAACTCCAAACTGATGATATTTGACATTTTCTAAAAAAAAAAAAAAAAAAATTATTGCATCATATTTAGGAGTACAACTTTAAAAAATAATTCACACCTGAAAATTAAATGCACAACTAAGTGGTTTAATTCACTATTAAACTAGGTGTATAATATTAACATTAGATTGCATGAAACAACATTTTTTGCAAATGAATGTCAAAACTATCATGAGTTTCAACCCATCATATAAAAAAGATAACAGGGAGAGCATAACACAACGAGTGTGGTTCTCATCTTGCAACTACACAGGTAATCACAAGAGTGAATGGTGAGCAAATGGAGTCATTCCGAGTCATGACAATTTTGAATTTGCACTGATAACGAAAGTTTTGAAATTTTACAATAGTTAAGCATTGTATAAATTAATATATGGTATAAGTATCATGCCTTACCTTTCCATGAGCCATAGCACCAATAACAACTACGATTGGTTCTTTGGCAGGAACAAGCTCTCGAGGATTTACAAATTTATTTGCCGTAAATGAAGTGCCTATCTTGTGGCAGCCAGGAGGAAGGTGGTCCGTGACAGGATTACGTATTACCTTTAATAACTTCATATTTCCATCCGATGCTCGAACACTCAGTTTGTGCAAAAGTTGAACTGAAATGTAGGACAGATTATTTTGGGGAGGCTCCACATGGCATTATATAATTTAAGATGACAGTATTTAAGGTTAGCTTTTAATTTGACTTGACCTAAATGCTGTGTGTGCTACAGGCTCTTCAGTTAATAATGTTCATTAAAAATTCATTATATTCAAACAGTAGCTTTTGATAAATAAAGTATTAATATTTTTTTTTTTTTGCAGTAAGAATCTAAAGTATTATTGTACTGTATTTTTTTTATAAAATAAATGTACAGTGTATGGTAAAATAACCAGCATTCAACCAAGTTACTGATGTTCAAGTAAGATTTGAACATCAATATCATAAGGCAAGGAAATTTTAGCAGTATATTTTAGCAGAAATTTTGCAATCCCCGTGGAACAGTGGTAAGACACTCGCCTAGCATTTTGTGAGCCCTTTAGCTTGGGTTTGTATCCTGGCCAGGGAGGATTGACCAGGCAGTAATCCTTAACTGTAGCCTCTGTTCACCCAGCAGTGAATGGATACCTGGTTGTTAAACAAATTAGCGGGTCATAATCCGGGAAAAATTATGACTAAGGACTTGCCCAAAAGGCTATGCGTGCTAGTGGCTGTACAAGAATGTAGGAACTCTTGTACATATAAATAAATAAAAAATAATATATATATATATATATAAGGTCTGTATTATACTACCCTTTATTGCAATGCAATTATGCAATACTAATCATAACATTCCTGGATCCCTGAGGGATGCAAGAGTGGATAAACTTTCAAGTTTCACTTTGTATTACAGCAAATAATGAAGCAGAATTTACATGTAAATGAATATGTTGCCATTCAACTTACTATATGGAGGTAGAGGGTATGGAAAAAGAGGGATAAAATCCTAATACAGTATTACATTTGATCCACCCCAATTTCACATTAGAAACAAATGCAGAAATCAAGATAGAAATATTCAGAACATACTGTTACTTGCAAGTCATTTTCCTGGAAACTCTATACATTTTGACTGCAGTCATGAAATCATTTTGATTTTGCTAAATTTTAGAATTTCCAGTCAACTCATCTTCCCCACACCATATGCAACCAGTAGGCACTCAACAATTTTTCAATACATTCTATATTACTGGAGTATGCACTCATTCCTCCCTCCCCCACCTTCCCCTCCGAGTCTAATGTAAAAATGCAATTCTTAGTATACACGCAAGTTTCATCCTCCAGCAGAATTTACTATCATATCTTTCCTTATTGTGACTGCTTATAAGCAAAATATCTTACCCATAAGACCTGCAAATCTTTTGAATGTTCTTGGTATCCTGCATTGTGGATTCACCTCGATCAGGACATTTTTTTCTGTGTGGATGTAAACCTGAAAGTTGCAAGTTTATATAGATATCACCATACTGTTGTTTGTTTTTGTTATCTGATATGAAAAATTGTCTGAAAAATCATAAAGACATTAGATGTTACTTTAAATAAAAGCATGAAATTAGCTCCCATAAGTTAATTTAGTATTGCAGTGTAAAAAAAAAGGCTTTTTCTCAACATAGTGAATTATAATTCCAACAAAGTGTAATACATGTGCCGTCTGTAATTTGATCGACAAATTAAATCAGTATGATTTATAAAATAACTGTTTAGAGCAAAAAATGATGCAAAAGAAGTGAACAAAGAAATACTGTATTGTCAAATAAGATCACAACTGAAAAAGAAACCATAAAGATATGAAAACCAATAAATTTAGTTCCATGTGAGAAAGAAGGTGCAAGGGAAGAATGAGTATGTGCTCCTACCTGGAGTTTACCAGACTGGTTAAGTGGAGAATCCTGCAACATGAGGAGGCACTGATGAAGAATATCTGGGCGGTAGTTGGCAGGGTTTTTGTTGTACTTTTTCATCAGTCCCATGTGGTCATCACAGTTAAGGAGCTCATAACCTTTACCATTCTATAACAACAACAAAATTGTTTGAGGCTATTTTATCTTCACCGTGAAGTGGAGTAAATGCACAGTGAAATTCTCAATGTATACTTTTCCTTGTAGCAGAATATTTAACTAAAAACAACAATTGCATTCTACAATGTGAATAAAACAGTTAACAATCTCATTATGTATTTTGTACGCTGTCTCTTTCAAAATTGCAGAAAAGGTTAGATTAAATGCTAAACATTTGCAGGCACATTAAAAAAATGTTGCAAATATATAACCTGTAGTTTATATATGGTTTGACTATCAAATATGCAAACATGCCGATTATGTTTTCTGTCCAACTTGGAATAACCCTTGCCTCTCCATGGCAAGAGAGCTTACCCTCTCATCTGTCAAAGTAAGCACCTGACCTGCACCTGTATACTACCCCAGCTTCGTTTCGCTAATGTGTGCAGACATTTAAAGTGTTGGTCCCTAAATACTTTAATACTTATTAATATTTAAATGAAAATAGTAAACATCTTGCCATTATGTCAGCTTAAAATGTAGATAACATTTTATCAATGGCTTCTGCTAGCAGCAAACCCAAGAGGAAACATTCAGTCGTGATTTTTTTAGCAGAAAGTGCCAATCACTGGTCTCACGTGCTGAATACAAAGTGAGCCAGACAACTAAGATATTCTGAAGGCTAAATATAAGACCTTTGCCCGTTATGCTCATAGTGAGAATAATGCAGCAATGTTGACCAAACCACACTGTAGAAAGTGAAGGGACAATGACGTTTTGGTCTGTCCTGGACCATACTCCACAATCGACTTGAGAATGGTCCAGGATGGACCGAAACGTCGTCGTCCCTTCACTTTCTAGTGTGTGGTTTGGTCAACATATTTCAGCCAAGTTATTGTGACTCCTCGTCTGCATAATGCAGCAATGCAGTAGATAGTTATTAACAGCTGATAGTTACCCCCAAGGTTAAATTACTGACCCTTCTAGGATGCAACCCCACAACAAGCTGACTAACTCCTGGGTATCCATTTACTGAAACGTGTACAGGGAAATTAGGTGAGAAGAAATGTGCCCAACCATTTCTGTCCTGACCGGGATTTAAATTAAACCCGGAATTCTCTACCGTGAGTCGAGAACAAACCCGACTATACTACTAAGACCCTCAAAGCCTAATTTATATTAGGCTTAACTAAAAGATTAACTTATATTAGCCTAAACTTAACTCTAGGCTATTCTTATACATAATCAAAATCTAATAAACCTAAAAGTGACAAACAGAAAATCCTACAGATTAAAATTGCCTGTTTTTAACTATGTTAAATACAGTATAACTGCAATTTTTGTCTTTCCAGCTAGACTGGAAATAGACAAGACAGACCAAATGTCTTGTCTGAATATGTCTCTCAGAATGTGTCTTCTCCGAAATGACAATATAATATACAGATATATGTATGTACTGTATGTGTAGACATTATATTATATATATATATAATATATATATATATATATATATATATATATATATATATATATATATATATATATATATATATATATATATATATATATATATATATATATATATATATATTATATATTATATACATACACATATATAGCTGCTACATCATTTTATTCTTCAAAATAATGCAGTGCTAGCTGCATAACATAGCTCACCTTTATATTCTCAGGGTATGCCCTCTCTTTAGAATGATAATGCAGTTGGATTTAAGACGTGCACTCACCTTCACACTCTCTAGGTTTGCTCTCTCCAGGATGACAATGAGACGCTTGTCTTGGTTCCTGACGTGAGCTGGCGTCTGCTGGCGCTGGGAAGACTCCTCACCCTCTTCTTCTACCTCCTCCCCTTCCTCATGCTTCCTCTTCTTTCCCATTACTCAGGCTGTACCGTAAAGGCTTAATGCTACGAAGACAAATTTACGTGTTTAGGTGGGATCCACAGTTAAAATGGAACCTTCCCTTCCTACAAGTGTCAGTTGCGTCCTATTGTTAATTATACTTGAAGAATGACTGAAAGTTTTCGTGCCCAAAGTCTTAAAAGGGCCTAAAGGTTCTTCTTCTTACGTGCAGTTTGGGAGGTCTTCAAGTCCCGATAGAAATAACTGCACACTTGAAGGATCCCGTGTTGAAATCAGTTGTGTTATTTTATGTACTAGTGGCTTTACAAGATTGTAATTACTATACTATGTATCCTCACAATCCCAACGTACCTTCTTGTATATATATAAATAAATGTGAGGAGTCCGAGCCCGAGAACGTCTCCACACACGTGCCACTGTGTTGTAAATATTCGAACCCCAGTTGGAAACAGACCCAACTATAGGATGGGTTAACCCAAGTATCGCGCTTCCAAAAGGGTCGCCCAAGTTGGAAAAGACGAACGCTGAAAGAATATTGTTGAAAACATCTTGATACCTGTTTAAACCAAAATTATTTATTAGTCAGAAGAAAGACAGAAACGCGATCTATATGTAAAACCTCTACTAGACAAATATTTTAAGTAAAACCGAAGATATTTGTAGTTGTATAAAAGTGGCAGTATTCATCGCTCGTCAAACTCGAAAACCGCAGCATTCGTCTCAGAACCATGCCTATTTCACGCAGATTCCTTAATAAACGTAAGAGTTTTATATGTCACAAGAAAGAGATATATGAGCGTCGTTCTAAATACCTTACCATGGGCATATTTAAATTTAAAGCGAAGATACGTGTACTTTTATAATAGCCGAGCTCCGACTCCGGACAGATCGATCAACGGAGTAACTCTCAGAACAATGCTTATTTCACGTAAATTTGTAAATAATCGTAAATTTTTTATATGCCTCAAGAAAGATAGGAATATAAGGCTCATTATCACTATATAAGGCTCATTAACACTTTATCATAGAGATAATTAAAGTTCTAATGAAGATTCATGTATTTTAATAATCGCCGAGCTGCGACCCCCGCATAGACTGAGCGACAGAGCAACTCTCTCAGAAGAATGTTTATTTTACGTAAATTCGTTAATAAACACAAATGTTTTACACGTCTTAAGAAAGATAGAAATATAAGTTTTATTTTAAATACATTACATTAGACATATTTAAAGCTCAAGTGAAGATATATATGTTTTTATAGTGGCGTTCAGTAGCTTTTCGGTCATGGAGTGCAGACGCCTACGCACTTGCCAATATGTTATGTAATTAACAAAGATACGCTAATAAAGCCTAAAATATTACATGCCTCCTGAAAGACAGAGCTATAATCGTTATTGTGAGTGCATCAAAGGAAATATATCATGTTGGAGACCAATGATATAGCAATTTTAATTTAAGTTTCGAGTCCCGCCCGGTCGAGAGAGATTGGGCGACTCTCGCCCCATCTATTGGAGATTCTGTCCACTAAAGACCCAAAGCTACTCAAACCTTCCTAGCATTACGTAAGCAATGAAGTAATATGGTATATTTACTCACTATAATGTGGATGCTGGATGCAGAAAATGAGAAAACATAATTTTACTCTGAAAAAATATCATTTCATAACAAAATAAGATGTAAATATGTAATATCAAAGGAAGTCGATGGTCCAAGCAACACTATCCTGGAGCGACTTATCCAAGATATATTGCTCTCTGGAATGTGTTTGCTGGCATATCAACCTTCTGTACACAGTGATCCAGTCGTCGAACTTCTCTGCTCAAATTATCGCAAATTTAATTTATGATGTTAACAAGTAGAATGCGTATTTTTAATCAAATCTAACGATATTAACAAGTAGAATGCGTATTTTTAATCAAATCTAACATAACTAGCCAGAAAACGTTAAAGATTATTTAAAAATACATGGTTGGAAGTTAAATCAACTCCATAGAACAATATTTTTGTTATAGATACTAATCGTTATTTGTTGGTATGCGTTCGCTACTTAAACTATCATGTACTGTATTTATGTAAAATCTCCCTGTTTCTTCGGACATGGAACACGGAACCTTACACGCTCTCTGATTTACTGTTTAATAGATTCACAAATAAGCTTATTTTTTATTTATTTATTTTTTTTTTTTTGAGATATATACAAGAGTTGTTACATTCTTGTACAGCCACTAGTACGCGTAGCGTTTCGGGCAGGTCCCTGGAATACGATCCCCTGCCGCGAAGAATCGTTTTTTCATCCAAGTACACATTTTACTGTTGCGTTAAACAGAGGCTACAGTTAAGGAATTGCGCCCAGTAAATCCTCCCCGGCCAGGATACGAACCCATGACATAGCGTTCGCGGAACGCCAGGCGAGTGTCTTACCACTACACCACGGAGACTGTTAATTGTGATTGTATACGTTATCAAAAAGGCAGTGACAAAGTCAATTTTGCATTTTAATCACAGAGATTAGATCTTAGTGAGATAGGAAAGATATTCATATTTTAAAGAAGGATTTTTGAACCATCGCTCTCCCTATCGATAGAAACTAACTTTTTTTTGTTATTATTAACAAGCTTAGGTATACACAGTAATGTGCTGCTACCCTATTCTATATGAAAGATTACACAGTGTATATCAAAAACTAGCTATAAGTTCATTAAATATTCCCATCTCACAGGATGGTTAGTTATACATGGAATCAGGGGATAAAATACCAGCCTCAATAAAAAAAAATCAACTGTGACTAACAAGAACACCACTTACGGGTTATTCATGCCCGTGCTACCTTTTGGGTGGCTTAATCCTCATCAATCAATCACAAGAAACAAGGGATAACATCTCCCGTCACGCAGGGTCCAGTCGCACCTCCACAGATCTCCAGTATCATCTATTGATACTGTTAATGGTTCAAGAGGACTACCACTTACGGGCCTACCTCAAGGTAACAATCAGGTGAGAACATAAAATATAAGGCTGATCTATTAGCCTCCGTTAGCAAAATCCGGGTACAGCATAAGAATTTCTGACCAGGGGGAGAAAGATACTGGCAGCATGGGGCGTTAAAGTTTATTGAAGATTAAATTCTGCAGATTTGCGAGGGCAGCGGCGAGGGCAGGCGGAGTGAGGGCAGAGCCCCATTGTGCGCCCGTATTTATATGGCCCCAAACTGCCCGCGCAACTCCCCTGCCAGAAACATCCCCGCTTGCGATCAAGCAGTGACCATTAAGTCGTCACATCAACAAAGGGTTCGAGATCGACCACAAGTACAGGTTCTAAATTAAGCAACTGACATATGTGGAGAGCTAGTGTCACAATTGATATGTTTGTCCTGCACACCGCCCCCCATCCAGTGGGCAGCGGTGGATAGGTTACAATCACTTAGTTACTACCTACAGTTAGCAAACTGGGGATATTTGGCTAAAATTTCTGGTAGCAGATCATTTTGAATGAAATATTTACACATCGCTGGAACATTGGTTATAGAATTGTCTCTAAATTCACGGTGTGCGAATAATTTTGTTGGCACAGTTTACATTTGGTCAGTTATCATTATACTATAATAAATGTTAAAATATTATACACATGTACTCCAATAGATATTTCCAGAGTATTGGTTTATTATTTCCAGGTTAAATTTCGGTCATTACATAGCATAATATCTTATATATATCAACAAAAGTGTTTGAGTTTTATAATAGAGTAAAAACTAAAATTAAATAGTATTTAATTTACAAAATATAAGCTTATTGGTTAATATATATTTATTTGAATGTCTGGTTGTTCTTCTTTACACAATCCTGGTTGTGTTCCCTGGTTGTGTACACTTGTGGGTAGTGAGAGGAAGTGCACGTGTGGAGATCTTTTGCCATCAGGAAGATCTGTTTATACACCATGGCGCCTCCTCTTCCAGACAAAATACTCATGAGGAAGATCAAGAAAAGCCAGAAGAAGAAACTAAAAATGCTTAAAGCTAAAGAGGATAGTAAAGTTTCTGGAAGTGCAGGTAATCATGATCGGGTAGTCTCTTAGCGTAATGTGTCTACAGTTTTCGACAATTTACAAAACTAAAAAGTGGGCATTATGGATCTCAGGATTCACACAACTGAAGGCATATTGTTGAGTGTGTTGCTAGTTTATTGTTTTATATTGAACAGCTGTACTGGAGACTGTTTTCGAGGGTATCTTGCACTTTGCATGAAAGGTTTATCCTCCTTATGACTGCGCGAGTACTAATGTTGGGAGGATGCGTCACCGTAGCCCGCACAAGGTTTAAAGAGTTTAGATTGTTGTCTTTTGCTGTAGATAGAGGAGCGGTGACTGCTAAAACGCTGCTGAATTTCAAAATCCAAATGGACAGGATCATCAGGACAAATGGGGGTGGGGAGGACCTTTGACAAGCCACCGGCTTCCTGTCCTCGTCAAGGCCACTAGAGAGATAAGAGGCCCTCAGGTAAATCAGGTACTCTCAATCAGGAATCCTGGGTTCAAATCCTGGGTGGACAAAAATGGTTAGCTACATTTTCCTTCACCTACTATCTCTGTTCACCTAGCAGTAAATGGGTACTGTACCCAGATTAGGCATCTGTTGTGGGTTTGCATCTTGGGAAAGGTCAGTAGTTCACCATTGAGGTGACCTCAATACAAGCCTACAAGTATATATAAACACAGGTTGTCTGTCTCTCCAGCAGAATGGATTATTATTATTCAATACATAGTTTTATATTTTATTATATGAGGAAAAAAATTAAGAGTTTTGCATTAAATTGTGTGAGCAGTCAAATCTGAATCATTTGGATACAGGTTGCTCCATACTCAAGCCAGTTTGATAATAAAATTTAAATTGTACCAAGCCTAACCTAACCTAACCTAACTTAACCCAACTCATCTTGACATAAGCTAACCCAGCCTACCCTAATGATGTATGCAGTTTTAACAATTGAACAAACTTTGTCAAAATGCCCCAGTGTGATTTAGACATGACCTGCTCGTTTTTATAATCAGGTTAAATTAGGTCATGGTAGGATAGATTGGGTTGCATTACATTAGGTTTGCTAGGTTAGGTTAGGTAGATTTTAATATAGCCTAATTTAATTTTTGGTACTAAATGATGTATATCAGTTATTCCACTTGCTTTGCCAAAATTTGTATGCTAAATATTGCAACTTCTGGCTGTAGTATTTTCTAGTTTGTCATTCCTACATCAATGGCTATGAAATGTTTTTTGTTACAGTACTGTATTGTATCTCATTGTTGATATGAGATCAATACAAGTTCAAGTTTCAATGATAATGCAGCACAGTTTAATCATTTTATAAGTTTATAATTTTATAACTATAACTTTATATAAAGTTTAAACTCTTTAAATACATGAACTACGATACGAAGTGATTTATTGTGCATCATTCAATGGTATCGGGTTTGATTTCCAAGATGGTCAAGACATTTGAACACTTCTTAACACCTGATAAACCTGTTCAGAGTTAGGAAATTCTTGAGGGTTGCATCCTAGGTAAGGTCATTCACTGGCTTAGGTGGTCCTTGCTCAGCCTAACAAATTTTCTGTACCTGACAATACGAAACCATATCTTTTTTTTTTTTTTTTTTATATAAACCCATCCTCTTTTAATTTTTTTATTTACATAAATACATTTACACAAAAATATAGTCAATGACTGTATAGGCTAATTGAATGAGTTTTGTTTGCATTAATTAGAATTTTTTTCAGAGGAACCATTACCAGAAGATGAAACTGAACGTCTTATTCACTGTCATCCGTCCCTAAGTAAACGGCCGGCTGAAGATGACCCTATTCCTAAAAAGAGTAAGTATAATGCAGTAATAATACAAAATATTCCATTATGTCAATTTTTTTTACCTCTTTGCAAAGTTATAAAATCAGGCAGTTGTATCTTTTTTGTTTTTACTTTTAATAAGCAGATGTAGACCAATCACATAATGAAGAGAGATGTGTCTAGGATATATCTTGATAGGTTGCTTTAATGAAACACACACTGCCTCATAGATCAGGAAAGGCTGGCCCTTAGGCCAAGCTGCAATAAGAAAATGCGGAGGTAATTCACAGGTATGGACTGTTGTAAAGTGGTGGTCACTCATTCAAGTTCATGGTAAAATGCGGTATAATGTGTTAAAAGTACCTTTTGTACAAAGGGAAAAGCTTTTAGCATATACTGTTCAACATTTAGAACACATTTATTGCTTTTGTATTGCAGTAGAAAAGACCTCACTTCATATACGAAGATTTAGGCTTAATGTTTTAAAACATTACATTTTATTTTGGTAATAAATAAATGGTAATTGTTTGCATTTTCTTATTTTGCAGATAATCATAAGCTTTCTCTGGCCTTCGTAACATCCTATACAGTTTAGGCGCAGATAATTTCAAAACCTAAAATATTGGTTTAAAGAAATATGTAAATTTGTTGAGCATGTACTGCACAGTAATTTTGTATTTACAGATAATTTACAGTACAACCATGCACAGGTACAACCACATGTACGTATAACCATGTGCAGGTACAACCATGCATAGGTACAACCATGCGCAGATACAACCACGCACAGGTACAACCATGCTAAGATACCAACTGAATAACCAACTGAGGTGCATTTATAAAACCTCATTGCATTTGCAAACTATGTATGAAAAGTGACAGTCAACAAAGGGTTCTTTGCTACCATCTCTTTTTGTCTCCCTCGGTATCTGAACTACCCACCACCTGATGGCAGCACTAGGTGCACCACAGGGTTCTAAGAACCAAGTTACCTCACATTCTTTGGGAGCCGGTCGGCCAAGCGGACAGCACGCTGGACTGTGATCCTATGGTCCCGGGTTCGATCCCGGGCGCCGGCGAGAAACAATGGGCAGAGTTTCTTTCACCCTATGCCCCTGTTACCTAGCAGTAAATAGGTACCTGGGTGTTAGTCAGCTGTCACGGGCTGCTTCCTGGGGGTGGAGGCCTGGTCGAGGACCGGGCCGCAGGGACACTAAAGCCCCGAAATCATCTCAAGATAACCTCAAGATTCTCAATACACTCACTCGTTATAGCTGCACAGTTAAATGATATCAACAGACATGCTCGATTTAACATTACTAAAATAAGTACAGTACAGTATTTTACAGTATTATATACAGTATATCCAATATGGGTATGTATTTTAATATGTGGTTATATATTTAAATAGCATTTCTTGTAGCTTCACCATTAAGGGTACTATACAAGCAAAATGTGGTTAAAAAATATACCGTAAACTGATATCTGCTTTATATAGCATGTTTGTTGGGTGGTGCTTCCTGGTTTGTGCCTGCCAGGTGGAAAACTAATTTGTTTTTCTGCTCATGCTTTTTTGCTGGCTCAGCGATCATGCTGATTGTTAAGTGTCTTAGAGAAAGTAAAGTATCTAGTACCAGCCCGTCCTCCTAAGGTTTCCCACCGTCAAGAAAACAGTCAATGTACAGTGTTCTCTCCTAACCTACCAGAGGACCCAAAACAGAAAATGGGATAGTACGTCACTTTTGCGAGCCGCTTCCATTTTCTAGTACGACAACTTTTGGTCTTATTTAACGCATACGAGTGAAAAGCGACATCCTTTGTAGGAGGACAAGTTGCTGGTACAATGTATATTTTAGTGGATAAGAATTCTATGTAATGTTCTTCTTTCTGTTTATATACAGTAGGTGGTTTATTGCTAAATAGTGAGTTAGCTCAATGATCATTCATAAGTTATCTCTGTATGATGACTCAACTGTATGTTTGATATCTTATTTAATCACAGGGTACATGAGATTAATTTGAATCAAAGAGCTTGGTTAAATGAATTTAAGTAAAGCTCTCTCTTTTAATAAATAGCATTTGCTTTTTGTCTTCAGAAAAGAAGAAGAAATTGCAGGAGGTGGAGGAAGCTCTTGATGCAGGAGCTGATAATGAAGTCACACCTGAAGTAGAACTTAAAAAGAAAAAAAAGAAGAAAAACAGAAATGAAGTTCCTGTTCGAGCACAACCACAAGTTTGTGAATCTGTTGAGGAAGAAAACGAGGAGGAGGAGGATATAAACAAAGAAGACAATGATGATGGAGAAGAGACTGGTTACGAAAGTGAAGAGGGTAAAAATGGTCAGTTGTAATTACTTTTTTGTTAGCAATTATGTTCTATGCAGAGAGTAACTCGGAATAATGTGACTACAATAATAAACGAACCCACAACACTTAAAATGAAAGTGACAACATTTCTGTTCTTCCTGGACTCTATTCATTTATCCTTTGACATGAATTGGTACCTCGTTGAGCCCGGCCCAAGGCCAGGCTTGACTTGTGAGAGTTTGATCCACCAGACTGTTGCTTGGAGCGGCCCACAGGCCCACATACCCATCACAGTCCGGTTTGTCCGGCACTTCTTTTTAGAAAACAGTGTAGTTTTCTCTTGAAGATGTCCACGGTTGTTCCGGCTATATTTCTTACAGTCGCTGGGAGGACGTTGAACAACCGCGGACCTCTGATGTCTATACATTGTTCTCTGATGGTGCCTATGGCACCTCTGCTCTTCACTGGTTTTATTCTGCATTTTCTTCCATATCGTTCACTCCAGTACGTTGTTATTTTACTGTGTAGATTTGGTTCTTGGCCCTCCAGTATTTTCCATGTGGAGAGTAATCAACGTATGCAACTACTATACTTGTATAGGTTACTGGCTTGATCATCATGCTTATATAACAGATTAGTTCAAAGTGGATCACCCATATTAGTATCAGTTTTATTATTAATCATAAGTATTTAACATATTTTGTAGATGGTAAGTTACAATAATGTGACTGAAGATATTATAACAAAACTACACAACAAAAATGGAAGAAAAGATGTTTCGGTCCATCCTGAACTATTCTCAAGTTGTGTGCCAATTCTCACACGAGTTGAAAAGGGTTCAGGATAGACATAAATGTAATTGTTTCTTCATTTTCTGATGTGTTGTTTAACATATTGCACAAACCAGTGTCAGTTTGTTACATGCTACTGACCTGACAGTAGATTATAATGTTCTCGAAAATAAGTTTGATTTGACTTGACATCAACATCAGGTCTGCGTTTTGTGACCAAAGGAATTGTAAAATGGGAAAGGTGGATCTAAGGGATCTAAGATCTAAGTATGATCGATCAATTTTTTTGAAGGTTGGGAGTCGTAAAGATCGAGTTGGGTTAGGTAAAGTTGACATTGTTGGTACTGTTGTTGTGTCTTGTTTTATTATATTAATTGGTTTGTGTGATGGCCCAATGACTTGCGAAGTTGTGGGTGGGAGGCCGAGTAGGCTGTTGCATGTTACATTTCAATATTTCCTACTACACCTTATCGTTGATGTTAAATGCAATTATTGTTTTTCAGTACTTCAGTTATTTGCAATTAATTGCCTAATTTGCTTTTACCAATGAATTGCACAAGAATAAAATGGAAAGATTATTTATTGCTCATTTTTACCTCACATTTAGTTTTCAAAATGAGTCTTGAAAAAATCTGTACTGGAAATTTATTTAACTCAAAGTTAATTAGTAATTACCATGTTCTGTGCTGGAAAGTGTCATGCTTTTCTTAATGCAGTCAGTTTTATTCCAAACTTCAAGTCCAACATGGTGGGAATGTAAGGCATCTTGCCCTGAAACACTCCAAGTGTTGGTGTTCCTAGTAGCTATACATTTAACTGAGTGTTACTAATCAGTAATCTCTGCTTGCGAGTCCATTCAACATGCATTAGTTAGACTTTGCAGACTGCAAGAAAAGCTATGGTATGATTATTATAGTTATTAAGTGTCTAATTTCTGTGTCATTGCTTATAAGCCCTGGGAAGTATGGTACGTTTTAGTTCTTAAATCTTAAAACAATGTTAAGTATTGGTATTGGAGTATCAGTCTTTCTGTAGTATCAGAATCTTGTACAGCATTGGCTAATAAGTCGATATTTGCCAAAATTTTATAGCAGTTATAGTTCAAATGTTTAATTTTTATAAAGCTGCATGGTGATTATTACATTTTTCTTTCATAGGTACCAGCACATTTGGATTTGATGCAACAACAAATAAGTCATTTGATTGTCTGAAGGGTGTGATCTCTGAAGAGACCATGAAGGCAGTTGTTAATATGGGGTTCACGGAAATGACAGAGATTCAAGCCAAAGCCATTCCAAAGCTCTTAGAAGGACGGGATTTACGTGGAACAGCTAAAACTGGTGCAGGAAAAACACTTGCCTTTGTTATCCCTGCTGTGGAGTTAATACATAAATTGAAGTTTAAACCTAGAAATGGTAAGCATTTCTAAATGAAATTTTTGCCGTAATGACTTGAGTTAACTCAGATGTGTTAAAACCCTTCAGTTTCAGCATCACCTTCAGTAAAGTTTAGTCTCAACTTGGTGTTCCTCTACATATAACACTTGCCTGTTTTATAAAGGGGGTAGTTGTAGCTCTGGTAATATGAATCATCCATGTTCTGAAGAAACAGTGTGTGTATTTAATGTTATATAAAATTCACTATTATACTGTATATCTTGTGTATTTAATGTTATATAAAATTCGCTATTATACTATTCGCTATTTTATGTCTAAGTTTTCATTGATACTTTTGGGTTATTGCTTGAATATGTCACGTTAGAGACAGATAGCTATTGTAGATATGTGGAATTGAATTACAGTAATGATAAATATTCTCATTTAGGTACTGGTGCCATCATTGTGTCCCCAACACGAGAATTATCCATGCAGACCTTTGGTGTGTTGCGAGAAGTCATGGAGGATCACACTCAGACCTATGGCCTCATTATGGGAGGTGCGGACCGCAAGAGTGAAGCAACTAAGTTAGCTAAAGGTAAACATTTGTTGTTGCAACACATTACATCACACGGAGAAATCTATACAGCAGTGGGGAAGTTTGAAGTTTTGTCTTAAAAATATTTGAAGTTTCATGATTTTAGTGGGTATTTCAAATTTAGTAGTGTATTAGTATTTTGTGAAACAAAGTTTACACAAATTTCTCTGCTTATGATTTATTATTCTTGAGATTTTGTTATTTGGGCAGCAGAATGCTGTATAGATGGTTGTATAAAAGTTTATAGACACTTTTTTGGCTATAGTATCTGGGGAGGTTGATTTATGATGTAGGAAGAGATAAGTAAAAGATATCTGCTAATTCCAGGAAGTTTACTCTAAGTAGCTTGTGTCATATTATTACCTTTGTGTTTTTCTGTGTTTATTTCAATGTATATAATTTCAACTAAAGTGTAATTGTTATTTCAGGAGTAAATATATTGGTAGCTACACCTGGAAGACTTTTGGATCACTTACAAAATACTCCACATTTTATGTATAAGAATTTGGTGTGTTTAGTTATTGATGAAGCTGATCGAATCTTCGATGTGGGTTTTGAAGAGGAAATGAAGCAGATTTTGCGGTTATTACCTAGTAAGTTGAATGTGCTGGAATGTATAGCAGTTGCATCTGTTATTGTATCTATTTACAGAGACACTTGTCAGATTTGCTAGCTAGCACATTTATATTAGTTTAAATTGGTTGCATGTGTATATATATATAATTGAGCTGAACCTCAAGTATTTTTTTAGCAATAGAGATGAGGGTTTTGTTAATATGAAAACAATTGTATTGGATTAAATTCAAATTCTTGTTCTTACGAATACCATACTATTAAACTGGGGAAGCTTGGTAAAGAAAATTTATATATTTTACCTCGTCATGCATAGTGGGAATGTATATTTACAACGAAAACCCATTTTATTTTTTGCATGCATTATTCCTTTTACAGAGAGAAGGCAGACCATGCTTTTCAGTGCTACAAAAGACAACAAAACCAATGAACTGGCAAGACTTGCACTAAAAACTGAACCCATGGAAGTTGACGTTGATTCTGACAAAATCAATGCAACTGTGGAGGGCCTAGAACAGGGTAAAATGCAATTCATTTGACTTTGAAATATACAAGTTTTATGGAAAATATGTACAAATTCCAATTCCAATTAGTTCTTCATTGAGGTAAAAAAAGGCCAAATACTTTTTGAAAAGTTCGTATGATGAAGGGCTAGAATTAATATATAAAGTTAAAAGAAAATCCATTAACTGCCAAAATTGTCAGCTGGACCAAATAATTCTTGTGTTTAGTGTTAGTGTATAGATAAAATAACCTTTTAATTATATAAATACAGTATTCCAAACCCACATCATCGAAGCTTGACTCCATTACTATTTGTCCACATAAATGATTTATCTGTACCAGCACCAACTGTAGGTTGGTGTTGTATTTCCCTATCTTGTGCTTGCTTAGATATTGTGCATTATCGACATTCCTGTTTAAATGTTGTAGAAGCAAGTGTAACATGTGAAGGTAGCTTCACATTAGGTAGCTCCCTTTATTAGGGAGATTCTACAGGATGCATCCTTATCTAGCAAGGCGAGCTCCTAAAATAGGTAGGGGGGGGGGGGTGATTACTATTGTGTAGCATTCCCTTGTGTACCTCACTTTCTGCTTAATTTACATGCAGCTGGTAATAAATTTATCCTTCATTGCAGCATATTTGGTATGCCCAGCAGACAAAAGATTTCTAGTTTTGTACACATTTATTAAGAAGAACAAGAAAAAGAAAGTTATGGTATTCTTAAGTTCTTGCATGGCTGTCAAGTTTTATCATGAACTCCTCAACTACATTGATCTTCCAGTGATGTGCATACATGTAAGTTTTTCATCGATTTGTATTTTTCCTGTGCTTATTTGTCTGGGTCATTAAAAGTTTTTGAGTATATTTACTTGCGGTCAGTTCATAAATTTTTCTACTCTTTAAGAGCATGGCCTAGGCACTATTACCCTGGTGATTCGGCTGCACGAGATACATCAATCATACACGTGTCTTCTGTTTATATTAGTTATTCCTTACATCTCTGCTAAATCAAACTCTTCTCTTAAATTACTTGGTGTTCATAATTTAGTGCGCCTGTTTTAAGATGTTTTAATCAATGAACCATCATACCTTTTATTTTTTTGTTGTAGGGCAAACAAAAGCAGGTTAAGCGGACCAGTACATTTTACCAGTTCTGCAATGCTGAATCTGGTATCCTGCTGTGCACAGATGTGGCAGCTCGTGGGTGGGACATTCCCGCTGTGGACTGGATCGTTCAGTATGATCCTCCTGATGATCCCAAGTGAGTGTGCTGTTACATGCAGTAGTTAAGTGTCCTTTAAAGGGATCCCTTATAGTCTTCACCAAATAATTACTATTATTAATTGATTATGTAGTGTCCATGTGATTACTAGAAAAGACCTGTGTGTATGAAACAAATTTTCACTTATATATGGTGGTGCAATAAAGATTTCTATTGTTACTGGGCCACATAGCTAATTAGTGGCAAATTAAAGAACTATTATGCATTAGCTGCTAAAAAATTTAATTGCATGCCACACTAATATTGGTTACAAACATACTTTTGGCTTTGATTTTAGAATTGAGGTTAGGTTGGCAAAAGTTTAATATTTCTGTGTTACTTTAATATTAGTACTGTATATAATATTGTTACAGTACCTACTTAAAATGATTTAATTTATTTGGTGGTATATTAAGTAAATATTTGCTGTGTTTTTGTGGTTTGAACAGCACCTCTATATTTTGGCATTAAGATAAACAGGAGCTGGAATGCCTTTTAAAGATCATGGTTGTACTGTATACCCTTCCTTTAATATGGAAAAAGTGGATTTATAAAATATTATCTTTTTTAATTCATTAAACTTTTAATTCATAGAGAATATATCCACCGTGTTGGAAGAACAGCCCGTGCCGGTGGTCAAGGCCATGCTTTGTTGTTCCTTCGGGAAGAGGAGATTGGTTTTGTGCGATACCTGAAATCCCACAAGGTTAATGTCGATGCTATGGACATTACCTGGAGCAAAGTGGCCAATATTCAGCTTCAGGTACAGTCTTATCTTATTTTCTTGCATTGTAATTGAAAGTAAATACTCGGTTGTACAATGGTAAGCATAAGGTGTACATCAGATTTGTAAATGCAGAACCTGCACTTGAGAAATTAAAAGATTTAATATTCCTGGAGAAGAATCAGTAGATTAACATTTGTTGAAGGGTGGCAGCATATACATTACAGTTAAGGTTATAAAGCAGGAATTAAGATGGGTTACAAGGAGGGAATATTGAGATGAGTTTTCTCTATTAATTTACCTGTTAAATTTAATAAGGTATGAAAGGTCACTATTGCAGTAAAATTGTAAAATCACTGGCAAAAGAAAATGTTAAAATTGTGCTCTTGTGAATGCATTCAGATATTTTATTATAGTATTTCATATCTGATCCTATTTTTCTTGTGAAGTGATCCTAGTTACTTATGATGTCAAGAGGGACTTGGAAGGTCTCTTTGAGTTTATGTGAATTGGCCTTCTGGAGGGTCATTCCAAGCCGGAGTGAGAATATTGTGTGCTTCCTAGCACCAATATGACCCTATAGGAACTACAGTATTAGAATTATTGCCTGCAATGCCAGATCAGATTATCATCCAGTCCAACTGTCTGTGGTCATATCCAATGGACAGCAGATAGTAAGGAGGAACAAGAGCAAGCTGCTCTGGAAGAAGCTTTTCATTACAGTATACACAAAACCTTATTTTTCTTCTTTATAAAGTAGTGTTAAAATTATAAATGTTGGTATGCAGATGTCAATTATTTTGGTTGATAATTCTGCTGTAACTTTCACAAACAAAATCTCACTTAACATTACTTTTCTCATCAGTTGGAAAAGTTGATGACGCAGAACTACTTCCTCCATGCCAGTGCTAAGGAGGCTTTCAAAGGGTATGTGCGAGCATACAACTCCCACCAGGAGAAAGACATTTTTGACATCAACACGCTCGACTTGAAAAAGGTAATTAGCAGTCAGGAAAACGGTTTTGTAATAATTCCTATTTCCACATTAACGTTGGTTCTTATTTATACTGGTAAAGGTATTTAGGATCTTTGCATGTCATATAGCATCTTTTCTGGTATCCAAGCCTTTAAGAATAATTTTTGCAACTAATTTGTGCCATCATAGCTTCTTAAAAACATATAAATACTGATTCAATTCTGCAGAACATAAAAATACATATCTTAAGCCTATTTTTAAAAGTAGGAACTAATTGATAATTATATTGCTTAGTAGCTTATGCATATCTTTTTGCTCCTGTATTGGGATCTCGAGCGATATTTAGGAACTTTTGAGTATCCCAACTTGGTGCCTTCTGTTGATAATGACTTAGCATCATATTCAGTGTATATAAGCAATTTATTATCAAGTTAATATTCTTTAAAAGGTAATATATGCTTTATTTTACAGGTTGCAAAATGCTTTGGTTTTCAAGTACCTCCATTTGTTGATTTGGGCTTTTCCGCCGGTAAACGACCAGTGAAGCGGGGCGGTGGCGGCGGCTATGGTGGGATAAATAAGAAACAAGTGGCAAAAGCAAAAATTTTCAGACAGATTAAAAGCAAGAATAACTAATGTGATAATTTAATAAAAACTATTAAAATGTAATCAAAGACTCATGGTTTTGTCTTCACATCCAGTTTTTATGAACACAATATTAACCATGAATTTTTGGTAAGTATAAATAAGTATACCATTCTCAATCGAGTTGAGAATGGTCCAGGACGGACCGAAACGTCGTCGTCGTCCCTTCACCTACTAGTGTGTGGTCTGGTTAACACAATATTAACCAGTTATAGACTTATATTAATTTTGTATGACTCATAGTAAATTAGTGTACTGTATTGTACTAACATTGAGGTAATACTATCTACTGTACTGCAGATGCTGAACACTTGAAGAAATGTTATAACATCTCCTGGCACTTGGTACTCCACTTGACACACTTGTGTTCAAATGCCACAATATGCAGCATAAACAAAACGTGCATTCACATTGCAATTGCAGCATCCGATGAAAATATAGTTGTCCTAACATTATTGTAATTACATTTTTTTTTTACCATATGATAAGGCAATCCCTGCTTAAAAGCTCTTCAATAGTTTCACTGCCTAAATCATACTTTTCAATATTGGTGTGAAATACGCATTTACTACAGTAATTCTTCAGCTTTACCCCGACCAGCCTAAAGGCTAGAGGTGGTGGTTGTTTCAAAGATTTAGCATTGGGAACAAAACGTTCCAAGTAGCACGGGCTATGGTGAGCCCGTAGAAGGCTAGAGGATTGACTATAGCTTGTATGTAAGACCTTTGTGAGACAGGAGTAAATAAAGTCACATGAGAGCGAGGTGACCTGGTTTACTTCACATCGGAGAGATTCTTGACACCTTTCCTTCTCCATGTTTGTCGGTGTGTACCCAGTAGTAGCAGGATGAGGCTTCATAATCTAACTGGTTCTATTAATCATCCCGAGGCCTAAGTCCCAACAAAAACTTTAACGTATCATACCAGTGTTACATTGGAACACCATTACTGACTCTGGGTAGTATTTTCTAATTGCTTATGCCTTCAAAGTATGGAAAATGATTATAGGGAAGACATCTTCCCTAAGCTAGTCTCTAAGGCAAAGGTCAAAATAAATTTTGAAAGAAATAATAGCCATTTTTCAGAAGATGCATACACAGATAAACAAAAAAATTGCAGTAGCAGTTTACAAAATTGACACATTTTAAGCAATACAATATATAAATGTAATAGACAACTATACACTGTATTTTTATAATGCCATTAAAACAAGAGATGGTATATGTTAAAACTGACACTGGCAACGTCCATCACATGGGTGATGGACGTTGGGGAAACGCTATCAAGTAAATGGAAGTAAATTGACTTAATCTACCGTTATCCCAATCCACAGACTTGACACCTGTCACTTATAAAGTCAAGTGTTTCAATCATCAGACACTGGCACTTGTCTAATGACTGCACATCAAAAAGTACAAATTTCTGCAACGAGATGGTGCCAGAGCTAAGGGGACCAAGCTACGAACATGGGCTAATGGAACTAGATCTCACAACCCAAGAGGATAGAAGGAACAGAGAGGATATGATCACAACCTTCAAGATACTGAGGGGAATAGATCAGGTGGACAAGGGTAGCCTCTTTAGACTGGGAGAAAGGACAAGAGGACACAGGTGGAAGCTGGAAACACAAATGAGCCGAAGGAAGATAAACCAAGTTTTCCTGAATTAATATATTTTCTCTAATTTTTTTCTTATGAAATGATAAAGCTACCCATTTCATTATGTATGAGGTCAATTTTTGTTATTGGAGTTAAAGTTAACGTAGATATATGACCGAACCTAACCAACCCTACCTAACCTAACCTAACCTATCTTTATAGGTTAGGTTAGGTTAGGTAGCCGAAAAAGTTAGGTTAGGTCGAAAAACAATTAATTCATGAAAACTTGGCTTATTAGGCAAATCGGGCCTTGCATAGTAGGCTGAGAAGTGCGTTCTGGCTACTAGGTACGACATTGTATGTATGTATATATATATATATATATATATGTCGTACCTAGTAGCCAGAACTCACTTCTCAGCCTACTATGCAAGGCCCAATTTGCCTAATAAGCCAAGTTTTCATGAATTAATTGTTTTTCGACTACCTAACCTACCTAACCTAACCTAACCTAACTTTTTCGGCTACCTAACCAAACCTAACCTATAAAGATAGGTTAGGTTAGGTTAGGTAGGGTTGGTTAGGTTCGGTCATATATCTACGTTAATTTTAACTCCAATAAAAAAAAATGACCTCATACATAATGAAATGGGTAGCTTTATCATTTCATAAGAAAAAAATTAGAAAAAATATATTAATTCAGGAAAACTTGGCTTATTAGGCAAATCGGGCCTTGAATAGTAGGCCAAAAAGTGAGTTCTGGCTACTAGGTACGACATTATATATATATATATATATACATACATACATACACACACACGTGTTCTTATATTTTTGTAAAGCCAGTATCACATAGTATTTCGAGCAGGTTCTTTTAATTTTCCCTGGAACACTACCCGCCAAATCGTTTAACAACCAGGTAAAGAATAAACCAGGTGTATCAGTGCCATCTGACAGAGGAACCAGTCACGCGTCAGATATACTGGTCCATCTAGGCACTACAGATAATATTCCGTTTATCTCTGCGCAACTCTCGGGTTCATCTAAACTACAACATTCAGAGTGCCTTACACTGAGTTCATGAGTTATGAGGAAAGGCTGCGGGAAATGCACCTTACGACACTGGAAGACAGAAGAGTAAGGGGGGACATGATCACAACCTACAAAATCTTCAGGGGAATCGACCGGGTAAACAAGGATGAACTATTCAACACTGGAGGGACACGAACAAGGGGACACAGGTGGAAGCTGAGTACCCAAATGAGCCACAGAGACATTAGAAAGAACTTTTTCAGTGTCAGAGTAGTTAGTAAATGGAATGCACTAGGAAGTGATGTGGTGGAGGCTGACTCCATACACAGTTTCAAATGTAGATATGACAGAGCCCAGTAGGCTCAGGAATCTGTACATCAGTTAATTGACGGTTGAGAGGCGGGACCAAAGAGCCAGAGCTCAACCCCCGCAAACACAACTAGGTGAGTACACTATGGTAATAATGATGATTGGAGTAGATGGTAGGATAAAGAGGTTTTTCACAGGTCTATGCATAGACAGCTGCCAGGGTCAAGGTAGCAGCCTCGACCCCAGTCTTGTCCAACGGTGGTCCTGGGTATTGCATCACATTGCCTGCAGCCATTTTGGCAACAGCTGCCACACTGGACTGCAGCCAAGTCTCCGCCGATGCTGCAACTAACTGACAACCAGTTTTTGTTCTCATTCCACATTTTTTCCCTTCCTAGAGCAGGCCATTCCCATGTTGCAGTTGCATGTTGTTTAATTTGTTGCTCAAGTAGAGACATACTAGCAGGAGCCGCCGTCAAACAAGAGGTCAAGACCAGGCGACGCGGGTCGAGACCTGGTGCAACTTTCAATACATCTTACACAGCGTTAATCCAATTATTTCACTGCTCAAACTTCTCGAAGTAGAATGCAACAATTGCATCACGTGATATAAATGAATTAATTCATATTGGTGGTTTTGTGAGAATGTCCACTAATTACTCACCAGAATTGTTTCAAAACTTTTGCATAGTCAGGTAAAACAATATATTGGGGTACCATCTGTGGCTGAGAAATGGGTCAATAGCCTCGGAGAAAAGCACACAAAGCATTAGAAAAATTGTCTATACAGTATACTTAGGTCATAAAAGTATTTGTGTGTACGTCTGATACCATACTACTTGTGAAGGAGGAAATGTATTTGTTTATCTCTCAGAATGTTTGGTAATATGTGTATTGTTTGTGATGTGTATATATGTATGTATTAACACATGTACTGAACGGGGTGAAAATAGCTTGAGCTACCTCATCCCTTTGTGTGTATTTTACATCAATAAACTTATTTCAATTTCAAAGCATTAGAAGGAATATTTAGGTCTTCTCAATGTAGCATGCATTTAATAAAATAAAATTACTATCACGAAGAGGAAAGAAGTTCTATAAATAGTCTAGAAAATATAGTATATTATAATATCTGATTAAACGGAAGGTATGATATATGCGATTATAGCTAAATATAGACAGTTGAGCTAATTGTATAACTATAAACTCTAATGTCTCTTAAGAATTCGAACGTGGACCGGAAGCGTCATCCCATTCAGCACCGCTTCTGTGCCAGGTGAGTCCACTACGGGCTCACCATAGCCCGTGCTACTTGGAACTTGTTCCGAGTAGCTGAATCTATAACAACAACTACGTCATCCCATTTCCCCTGGCTGTTCAGTACGTAACCACTTCTCGAGCGAGTGCCTATGTAGGTTCACAAACTTATCAAAATCTGTGCTAATTAAAATATTAAATCATGATAACTAAATCAAAGATAAAAAACAAAAACCTAAAAATATACCAAAAATATATAAATATGGAACGTTAAAGGCATAACAACCTATTTGCAAAGGGCGAACATTAGTGAGTGAACATTTGAGTTGAAGATGTAAATAGTCTCCAAGATGTTAAGGTGCAGTCTTAAAGAATTGGAAGCCAGTAGAGTGAGGAGGGTGTGAGTGAGAGTGTGGGTGAGGGCGTCACAGTGACCACATACAGCAGAGGACGCCGTCTGCCTCGGGGACAAACCTGTAAGGTAAAGCATCTTTATCATCAAAGCAATGGACGATAATCCAGCCGGAAAACACATTGTACATGACTTGCAACCAACCCGTCCTCGACTCAAGTTCATTACATCCAGCGGTCACCCCCAGAGACGCATTCATAATTTTTTACATGCTGTTCATTCAAAACAGTAATTTTCTCAAATATAAATTAATATTATATTATATTAGCATATTGTGCATATATAGGTTAGGTTAGATTAAGTGTTTAGGGTCTGTTGGCGATTATTTGTATTTGAAGTACGTGGGTGAAGCATTTACAGCGTTGTGGTTCGAACAAAATTCGTCAGTGAAGCACTTGTTTTCGGAAGTGTTCGAACGTCAGCA